AATCACGCGCAACTGGGTCGCGATCTACATCACACTGCATTAACACTGATTTGCGTGGAAAGAATATTAAATATAATTTTGTAAACGAAACGTTCTCTCCTTGGGATTAAGGTTATATTTGGAATCTTTTGTTTTAGGACAATTTAGATAAAACGCGATTGTAATCAAGAAACGTTTATGTCACTTGTACGTGTTTTATTTTGGCTGGGAAATTACGTACTTTTGTGGAAAATCCAGTATAATTTATGGAAAAATAACATTCCAAAATTTTATATTCACAGTATTTTGCCCGCGATCTGGTTTACGCGTTTAACTTATTTAAAAAAAAACTATTGCATATTTTCTAGGTAGGTTTAGCGAATATAGGACATGCACACTTAGGGAAAGTTAAGCTTTCTAATAGATAAATAACTTTCTGAGTACAAACAGCACAGATCGGCTAACTGTGGTACAAAATTATGATTATAGAGATACATTTTATCATTTAATTGTAAGATTTGTTTGTTTTAATAGTTTTATTATCTACAATGGACAAATAAAGCCATTCAATTGAAATATGTATCACAATTTGCACGCCATAATGATAACTATGCTATTTGACAATTGAATTCCAGAAAGCCGATTTGGATCCTACCACACAAAACTATCAGATGATTTTCATTGATATCAAACATTAAAATAAGTACATTCACGGTCCGCAGATCATAAATGCAGCGGAATGAGCAATTTGCAGCGATGCGCGCAATCACGGAACAAATCCATCGGCGTCGCGCGACCGCAAGTGATAAGATGCGACCTTGGGCAGAGCTAAACGTTTGATAAGGGAAATTCGGCGGCAACCGCGCCGCCCGGCCCGCCCGGCCGACGCCGCTACGCTCTTGTATGCTTATCACACGCCGTGTTTGTTTTGCATGAAATTAATGTCATACTCCAAATTATAATGCGGTGACATGATTAACTGTACTCGATTAGATTTTCAAAGAGAGTTTAATTAACGTTATTGATTCATTAAATTCGTTCAACATATGGTTAGTAAGACGCGAATGACTTAAAAATAATTAAAAATAACCAATCCAAAGGAGGAGAACATGGACAACACTTGACGTAAACACAGCACTACACCACAAACGATTATCACTCAGTGTATCATAAACACAATGAATCAAGTCAATCGGCCGCGGAAGACATCGTGTTGTACGCGGACCGCATACGCAGCAAGAGGGACGCGCGCGCGCCTCACCGCGAGCCAGCTAATGACCGCGAGGCGCATATTCGCGATCCCCACTCTGCCACCGTACGCGCTATCAAACCAGTTTACGTGAAAAATTTTAATTCCTCGGCGCGGGTGACGACCGGTCGCGCTTTCCTCGCGCGGCGCGGCCTCCCCCGGCGCTAGGAAAAAGCGCAGCGCCCTCGGGGGCGCGCCGGAAGTGCACGGCCGGCACGCGATCCAAGCGCACCCACCGCCTTAATTAAATGCTGCACCACCTACCACTTTACACTATCACAACAAACATTCATTATTACGGTGCCGCGACGCATTTCTTTTCCTCGCATTAATTAAATGACATGCTCTGGTCGAATGTACCAGATGTTCAATTAACAGCGATGCTCGCGTTAATTTCTTACGAGTTTCGCTGCTGAATTTATTCAATGACGAATCCTTGTGACATTGAATCCAAAATAAAAAACAAGTCCCAAATATCAAGAATATAGAGAAAGAGTCGATAGACTCGGAAGAAATAAATTGAGCATACAGAGACAGACATAAGTGTATCATATTAATAGAGTAGGTACAAAACCTACTAAGAAGTTCAAGAACAATCCGTGAATGATCTCATTTTCGTATGAACATACTGATTAATGTGTTTGCTACAAAAATAGCAAACTGAGGCATGTGCTCTGCGTCTACTTCGACGCAAGTAATCCCCTCTAACACGCCTTTTACAATTTTAAACAGGAAAATGTAGGTTCAACTTTAACTTAAGAACTGCGTAAGTTATCGTAGTAAGTACTAAAAATTTACCCGCTAAGCTAGTTTAAACGGAAATAATACATAACTGTTCATATTCATAAACAGGTTCTTTAAAAACGTGTAGTACTGATTTTTAAAATTAGGGCTAAATGATCGTGGAAATGACGCGTTTTCGCCTCCCTTTTTGGTGTATGATTTTTAAACACGTGTGTCTTCTTACCGCATTCCTATTGGCCAGTATCAACCCATGGTCTATTGAAGTAATGGACAGACAATGTTACTACGAATTAAGATTGTAGTTCTTAGTACCAGTGGCGTAAAGTCGGGCGATTGCATAATTTAAAATACAATAAGCAGTTCACATTTCACATGATAAATGCACCCTCATTGAAGCAGTAAATTATAGGGTAATAATCCTCAACAAAATGATAACTTCTTATTCAATTGAAAGGGTGTGTGGTTGACAGGAATAATGGCACCCTTGGAAAATAAACTGGATTAGTTGCTTGGACAAAGAATGCTTGGCTAATAAGTTAAGACACCTATTCATATTCAAAACACGTTTTGTTGATGTTGGTAAAATTCGTGGGGATAGTTTGCAGAAAGTTACCTTTGCTGAAAGTGCACATAAATTAAAAGCATTAAATTGTAATATGCTGTTGTTAAAAATAAATAATATTATGATTACATATTATTTTGGGACTAGACCAAGTGTATTATACAGACAAGAGTATTTTTAACTATTTCCTTAGATGACGTTTAGTTAAGCCCTTTTCATTTGCGTTATGCATTCAAATTACAGTTTTTTTGCAGAATCCCAGCTTCAACTTCAGACTCCAGGCTCCATGGCGTAGCTACCGCCGTATCAATGATACGGGGCCCCTTAAGTACAGGGGCCCCCAGGGCCGAATTAGACACATTTTCGGATTAGACAGTAGGCAACTGCCTAAGAAAGTTCTATAATTTTTCAATGTTTTTTTTTTAGAAAAGTTTATACCTTTTTTCGCAGAACTTTTTAAATCACAATTTTATCCTACTTCCTACTCATATTATAAATGCGAAAGATTGGATGTCTAGGTGTCATGATGTCTGGATGTTTGTTACTCTTTCACGCAAAAACTACTGAACGGATTTTGTTGAAACTATACAGTATTATTATTTATAACCCTGATTAACATGTAGGCTATAATTTATGACGATACTAGCTTTCCGCCCGCGGCTTCGCCCGCGTGGAATTTTGTCTGTCACAGAAAAACTTTATCGCGCGCGTCCCTGTTTCAAAAACCGGGATAAAAACTATCCTATGTTCTTTCCCGGGACTCAAACTATCTCTATGCCAAATTTCATCAAAATCGGTTGCGAGGTTTAAGCGGGAAAGCGTAACAGACAGACAGACAGACAGACAGACAGACAGACAGACAGACAGACAGACAGACAGAGTTACTTTCGCATTTATAATATTAGTTGGGATTAGTTGGGATGTGACAAATAAATTTCAATAAATAAATAAGACGTGTCTAAAAAGCGCCATCTATCGTCATTGGTTAAAATCTACAGCGCTGGACAAACAACTGTTGTTCGACGTTCGTAAAAATATTCATGCAGGGGAAGCCGTGAAACGCCATCTATCAACATGATATATCAAACAACAGCTTTTACGAACTAAGGGGTAAAACGAGGTCCACGCGTACGAAGTCGCGGGCGGCCGCTAGTTATGTATAAGAACCGACGGCATCATCTTCCTTACGCAGAAAATCATTAGGCACACACTTATTTGGCATACATTCAAAACTAATAATATTGTAAGGCAGAATCGTGTTTTGGCACATTTAAAAAGCATGCAGCAGGCAGTTTCTGTCACGGCTCCGGCGGTCCCACGCGAGCTTATCGTCGCAGATGGTTTTCGCTCACCACCGCAGCTTCGGCTTGCCTCCGCCTACGCAGCCTCGAATTACACTCTTGGGGTGGGGCAGACAAGACTACGAGGAGTCGGTTTTACAGCTATTCGTTTCACTGACTATTGTAACATAATTCTACTGAACATTTAACAATATTTATGCCCTATAAATATTTGGTTCAAAAATGAATTTCAGCGTGCGCGGAAAAAGTTTCTGCCAGATAAAGGGGAGCCGAACTAAAGACCTTTTTAGATTGATCTCCGCGATTGATACAAAGTACGCTACGCCACTGTACAGCTCTTTTGTGTAGTAAGATAATTAGATAATACCAAAAGCAGATCTCCTAGCAAAAGTGTAGAACATCAGTAGGATTATGATTTCCTATTCTCCAGTGGGACATTCTGGGGTGACATTGAGGCGACAATAGCCAATGGTGATGGTGTCGGCCGATCGATTCCGGACTTGGTCGGTAGTACGAACCCACTCATAAAATATCACTAGAAGACCGAACTAGTTCATTTGACTGATTTTATAGTTCGTAGCGATCCATTTAGTGTCCGAGTAAGAACAGTGAATGAGCCTTAGTCCAGTCTACTCGTATCTATTTGTTCAATCATCAGCATGCATCTCTGTGCCGACTCTGTGCTGGGTGGGGACCCAACAGTGATACCTAGTTACCTATATTTTACAAAAACTTTTGGGCTGAGAACTCACAAAGAGGTTTTCACTCAAGCCCATGTTTTATTTCCAAATCATAAGACCGAAGTTCTGTTACGCCCGCAAACTGATCGCAGTATGCGCTTTCGCAACCCTAAGAGCTTGGTAAAACGCGTCGTGAAACTGACTTAAAATTTTTACATGTACTGCATTCTAGAGAAGCTGCGGGTCCGCAACCAGTGCGACTGGTGGCGCCTCCATGGCGACCTAATAAGGGTCCTGACCTGAGAGCAGATTTCACCATTAAAGGTTAAAAACAATCCATTGTCACGACAAATTTACAGCTCAGAAACTATACATTTACAGCTAAAAAACTAAATTGGTAAAATCCACTCTGGAGTCCTGGAAACTGGACTTTTCATTATTAAGGGTATTCGATTATATCTAGAAAATTTAATTAATACACCTACCTTAGTTCGGGGTCTTCCTCTGGGTCTTTTCAAGGTCGATTCGTGAGTGGTGTCATCACTTTTAGTCTTTTTCACAATAGTACTATTAGTCTTTGCAGCACTATTTTTCTCCTTGATGTTTGCTTTAGATGCATTGTCTCTGCTTTCACCTGTCCTTTTGTCTTCATCACTGTCACTCTTGTTAGAGTTATTCTTTGTGCTTTTTCCAGATGTTTTTTGTGGTGATCCTTTTGGAATCAGCAATTTTGATACAGTTTTTAATGGCAAGTCATCTTCACTTGATGAATCTGATGAACATTTACTACATGATTCAGAGCTTGTTGATGTTTCTGATAACTGTGACTTGCCTTTTTTCTTCACTGTGGGGCGGTCCTTACCAGCTTTAGATGTTTTTAGCGTACTGTCAGGTTTCTTTTTGACAGCTGTGCCCTTTTTTGGATTGACCTTTCTTGGTGGAATAGCAGCAATTTTGAGCTTCAGGCCTGTGTCACAGGAAGTGACTGAAAAATGGGGTTTGTGTGCGGTGCCTTGTTTAGCACCAGAACATTCCCAGTCACTTCCAGATGATTCGCTACTGCTGCTATGCTGTAAATGATAGAAAAAATAATTAGTAACATAATATTCTTCTCAAGATCAAATTTTAATTATCTCAACAAAATGTACTTTAATATCCAATAATTACAAAAAAAAATAAAAATCTGGATACTAGCATTAATTTGTTACCTACGCAATAAACCACATTATTTTAGAAAACTTATTTACTGTCAGAATTTTTAAGCTAAGTAGGTATTGTTTGATTTTAGTCAGTAGGTAAATAGCAACTAGCTTTTTAAACCAATAAACAAAATTGTAGTTTTAGGACACACAAACACAACTGACAGCAGAAAATGATAACAATTTTATTATAATGCAAGGTATTAGTTGATAAGAACCAGGAAGTAGTTACATCAAAAAGTAATTATGTAAATTGTCTCTCTAAATATTATTATCTAAACCAACCTCAGAATCACTGTTAGAGTCAGAGTCACCACTTGAATCTTGTGTCTTTGGCAACTCAGTGCCCATTGCTGAAACAAACCAATAATAATATTAATATCAAGATGATAGTGTACGTATTAGGTTAGTAAATTCTAGTTAATTGATATCCTAAATCAGTAGACCTTGTATAATCTAAGCATCTATTACCAATCTATTACTTTGTAAATAAGTCTAATAAGGTGTCTCTTCTAGTTTACTATGATGTTGTTGGAGGTATTTTCAGACATCATGTTTGTTTTTATGATAATTAATAGAAAATAATAGTTGATGACATAAGAGTATAAAATAGAATACCATGAATAGGTACATCAAACGAAACACATTTGTTCTCATGTTATGTATGAATCTAATGATGTTACTCACTTCAAGGTTGGTCAAGATGTTCCCAAGTACAACAGTTTACGGTGCTTCATTTCAGACGTAAATGGATCTCCAATGTGATATTAGTCTGAAAATAAGATTATTTACTACGTTATTTTGTGTAAAATGCTTTAGCAAACGAAGATACAGTAGTAATTACATGAACAAAATACTACCTAATTCGAGAATGACAGATCTGACGACACTTGCAAGACCAGTTTCGAACCACCACAAGCGCGATAGTTAAATATATCGATGAATTTTCATGCTAACTACAAAATAACTACCCAATTATGGGAAATTATAATCGTTTAGGTTACCTCGATCTGTTTTGAAGCTTTGGCTTGAGATTGTTTGTTAGCAAGCGTAACGGTTAAAGGACATTGGCGCCAAATAAGTGCATACGTTTACATTCACAGATTGATTTGGAGACACTGAACGACTCTGCCAGTTATATATAACCAAACATGCACCATATACATAAATAATTCACTAACCAGCTAGAAAATTTACACTGCATCGCAAAGATACGTAGAAAATTATATCACCAAACACTTGGCCTCCATGTTTACAAATTATTCGTCGTGTAAAAATTGTCAGGAATACACACACATACTCATATTACACATACTTTGTTGATAAAGAGAAAGTCAGAGAATTTTGCAACTTATTCTTTTTCTCATATGAAATTTGCTAGTATGTGAAAGAGACACCTAATGATTCATAAATATAAACGCTTGTAAGTTTGTATGTGCGAGTCGGCACGCAAAATGGCGTCGATCATACCATCAACCGCAAGATAGATTTTAGACAGCATGCTACGTGATTTGGGTTTACAAATTCATTATAAACTAAGTGCATTTCACTCAATTCATTTTAAACTATGTACATTTTGTATTTTTCTTATTTACTAAATAAAAACAAATGAATTAAAAATAATAGTGCTGCCATCTATACAACGATAAAGCGAGTTTTTACTTCAACCATCCAAAGATTACGTTAACTAACAACGATAGAGATATTTTATGTCGTGTCGTGTCGTGTAAGTATTTGTATATTTATTTTTTTGATTTGTATTAATTTAATCTTATAGCCTGACCAGGAACATAAAAACTCTCGCCATGTTGCGGAAAACTAATGGTACTAATTTCTTTTAATGGCAACAATAACTGAAAACTTCATTGTCATGTCACCTTGCATGTCAGTCTATTGCTGTCAAAGTGTAAACAAACTTTATTTTAAATGTGCGCAATTGTTTTTGTGAATTAAATTGCTAAAATCTTTTTATAGTCGTGAAAGAAAAGTGGTTTACAATGTGTTAAAGTATTTGTCGAAGAGAAATACTAAGGGTTCGGACAATATTTTCATTGAATAATGTTTCCGACAAAGGTTGTCAAATTGACTGACATGTTTATCGCATAGTACAGTCCACTATGAAAATTAGCTGTGGTTTGTTTCAACTACCTATTTTAAATTTTTTTGTCACTTTCTAAGTGTTGAATTTTATGGAATTGGGAAAGAAGTACCGAGTTTGAAGCGTTCATGAGCAAACATTGCAGTTGAATATTCAAGTTCTGAATTTGATTATTGATGAATAATAAAATAAATCCTACTAGCTCGATTGATGGTTTCATTTAATTTATTTAAACCAGGTTACCTATAATAATATTTTTTCGTTAATTTATGAAAATATCAAATTAGCCCGTAATCCTGAATCCTGATCATAAAGTTAGCCTATTAACACAGAATACATAATAGTAGCAACAGAAATTGCACTCCTTTGTGTAGGATCAGATGCCGACATTTTAACGGTAATAATAATAATGCAAAATATCCAACGCACATGGTGCATTCGAAATCGCACCTTACACTACGCTCACAAGACCGCAATTTTTTTGTGTTCAGAATTGATCTACCTCACAGCTCAAGCGTCAGGGTTGAATAAGCAAATTAAAATAAATAAAAACTTAATTTTAAGAAGCATTTATTGTATTTACGATTGGTTAACTTTAATCTAGTGGTTTTTTTATAATCGTACCATATCTAAAGTACCTATTAATAAACTTCAGTGATGCGATAATTCGAAATTGGACACACAGTTTTAAAAGGTGTAGTATCAGAAAATAGACACGGTGAAGTAAAGTTAATGTTTTTATTAGCTAAATAATTTTTTTGCTACAGTTTTTTGTCATAAGTATTTCAAAATTATTTAAAGTGTAGTTTTTTTTAATTATTTAAATTACTACAGTTAATTATTATTCTTAAATGTTACGATTTTCCATTAAAGAAGAATAACAGTGCTGTTGGAACAATAAACCTTGATTGCGACGATAATCGACCGAGCGTGTACATAGAAATACGCGTGTGCTCACAGGCGCGTCACGGCGGCGCGTGGCGGCCTTGACTGATTTGCAACTTGAAGTTGTCGCGCGCTGTAGGTAATTATCTCGGCCGGCATAGGCGAGTGACGCGCCTCTATGCCAGGGTTGTTATGTTCCTGGTCAGGCTATACCATAATTATTCAAATGTACTACTTCGTATTTCTATGCATTAACCGTCTGGTTTCTTATAAGACAACACAAGCAAAGATTTGTATGTTTTGGCACGCTGCAGCGCTGCCTGACGTTTACGTACATTTAGGTACTGTACTTGTACCTACTACTATTGACTAACTGACTTGACTGTGTGTTGTGAATCATATTTAAATCAGTGTGCATTTTTCATCAAGCCATTTCATTGTCAACATCTTCATCGTGTTATGTTATCTCAGACCATATAAAAATTCTTATGACAGCTGACTTATGCTGTCATTCCTGTCAGCCTGTCTGTCAGTCAGCCAGCATCTATTACTTTTCTCTATGGCCAGCATTAAAAAAAACACTTTGTAAGTGAAGTAGAGTAGCACGATCTAAATGAAATTAAAGTTTAAAAAATTCAGATAACATAGTTATTTTTGTGTACATAAGTAAGTAATGGATGAGTTTGCGGTATGGGAAGATTTATCTAAGATACCAGCTGACCCACCGGTAATGCGTAACCTGTGCAATAAATGCAAGTGAGTATTAATCTAGTTTTGGCTTGTTTTAAATGTTATACTAAAATTTAATTCATCTATGAGCCTTATAACATTTAATTATTAGAAATCTATACTTGCTACATAATTTTAATGCCACAACCTATGAACTAAATGACTTTTCAGACGTCCTTCAGTAGTGTGTTGGTGTTCTGCATTGCCCCCACAGAGATTAAACCCTCGGAGCACTGTCATCCTGTTGCAGCATCCAGCAGAAGAAAAGCGATGCCTGCGCACTGCACCTATGCTACAGTTGGGATTAGCTGAAAACAAGTGCCTTATATTCAAAGGAAAAAAATTCCCACAACCTAAACACGAAAACTTAGAAAATATTTTATCTCAACCTAATACAATTCTTTTATACCCAAGTAAAACAGCTATAGATATAAGAGAGTTAGTAAAAAATAAAAGTGTTGAATCATATAACTTGGTGTTACTGGATGGGACATGGCCACAGGCAAAAGCAATTTATGCTTCCAGCTCTATTCTTCATAATATAAAACAAGTTAAACTTATAACTAGTGGCATAAGCAGTTATATAATAAGGACACAACCGACTGAGGGATGTTTGAGTACCCTTGAAACAGCGGCAGAAGCTCTGTCACAGCTAGAAGACAATCCTCTTTACAAGGAACAATTGATTGAGCCATTACATATGTTGTGTAGATACCAACTTGAAAATGGAGCTGTTACACATCAATCAAAGGAATTTTTGTTAAAAACACAAATGTATCCCAAATTAATTGGTAAACGGCTATCTAGATTGCTAAGGTCAACAAACGAAAATGTTCTAAACCCCATTTAATTTTAATAATGTTGAATAAAATATTACAAAAGATATTTTATTTTATTTTACCTACCTAGTTGAAATAAATAAAAATATTTTTAATTTTATCTTATATTTTATAAGGTTAAGGCTTTATTAATCTAAGCCTTAGATTCTAAGGCAAGGAACTACATAGAATAAAAAATATTATAGTTTAGTGGTGCTTTGGACACCCTGTATATAGCCATATACAGATTGTCCCAGAATGGGCTTATTCCACTATTCCCCGTTATACAGGGTGTCCCAAAAACAATGGATAACCCTGTAACCATCGATAGGCCTCGCCATGGTCTCCCTAACGTCCAATTTTGACCCCAGTAAAAATATCACCGTTTTCAAGATTTTTAATTTTTTGTGCATTTTTAGAAAATTGCCACCTGCGATTACTTTTTCTCATGCCATTTCTACAAATGAGGATACTTTTCAATCTAGTTTTTTCCTTATCACAAGGGATAGTTGGGCTATCTAAAGAAAAGATTAAAGTTCAACAAACTTGTTTAAAAGTATGAAAATGTTAAGAAATTGCAGAAAAGAAGGAAAAATTAATTCATTGTCTTGCACTTTTGATCAGCCATCGTGTAAAATAAATGTAGGTAGACCATCATGTCCATTACCTTAAAAACTTCCTTGGTTAATTGAGATCCTAAAAAGGTATCAGAAGCCTATGTATTCTGTATTATTTTTATGTTATGGCTACTTGAATAGCAACTAGTATGAAAACTGCAAAAATGAGTTTTTCTCGTAATAGTTAAACTAGGACTGCATACACTGGCATTAAATACAAATGGACAATTTTTAGCGTAGGAATTTAAATAAAGCAACATTTATCATCATCATCATTTCAGCCACAGGACGTCCACGCTGAACATAGGCATGTACCTACCCCAATGATTTTCATAATGACCGCATGGTAGTGGCCTGCATCCAGCACCTTCCTGCTTATCTTTATGAGGTCGTCAGTCCACTTTGTAGGTGGACGTCCTACGATGCGCTTTTCGCTACGTAGCCTTCACTTGAACCAGAATACATAGAATACATTTAATACAGAATACATAGGTTTGTGATACCATTTTAGAATCTCAATTAACCAAGGAAGTTTTTAAGGTAATGGGCACGATGGTCTTCCTACATTTTAAAAGTGCAAGACAATGAATTATTTTTTCCTTCTTCTCTGCAATTTCTTAACATTTTCATACTTTTAAACAAGTTTGTTGAACTTTAATCTTTTCTTTTGATAGCCCAACTATCCCTTGTGATAAAGAAAAAAACTAGATTGAAAAGTATCCTCATTTTTGTAGATATGGCAGGAGAAAAAGTAATCGTAGGTGACAATTTTCTAAAAATACACAAAAACTTAATCTAAATCTTGAAAACGGTGATATTTTTACTGGGGTCAAAATTGGACGTTAGGGAGACCATGGCGAGGCCAATCGATGGTTACAGGGTTATCCATTGTTTTTGGGACGCCCTGTATGTATTAGGATTTTGGAATAGTGAACAAAAAGTTCACTAATCCCCGTTGACGGGGATTGTCAATGGGGAATAGTGGAATAAGCCCCAGAATGGGTGAATCAAACTGCCTGCCTGCTCCTATAAAAATATGAAAGTGATTTTATGTATCCTGATATAACCTTATATTAATAAAGCTTTATTAATCTAAGGATCTAACCACAGATATGGATTAGAGTAGATACAGCAAGTTGCTAGTCAAAGCGTGCCATTCCGATATGTCCAAATGGACATACATGGTCGAGTGATGTTCATGTAATCCGATTACAACAATCGGATACGATGATTTTACGAGGACAGTAGTACGAACACGGTAGAGAGAAGAAATTATTTACGGATTGAGAATTGTAATTAACAGCAACGAGTAACAAATATGTAATTAATTAGAATAAAGTAGCAGAAGAAGAATTATAAAACAAGTTAGATCAGTGATCGCGGAAGACAGAGTGCACTGTATAACGTCGAAATATACAAATCAAGAAGTTAGGTCAGTGATCGCAGTATACACTATTACTACTATGTATACGACGCCCGAGATTTTGTCGTTTAGAAATATCTTCAAAACTAGGTACCTGACTTAGCTTTATGAAAAAAAACGTATTGGCAAAACTACGCATTTTTACATTTATTAAAAATAAAAAGCTTGAGTAAAATAGTCTTTATTTTATGAAAGTAGGTCATTTACTTACTAGGATATTTAAAAGTATGGAATTAAGTATGAATTACTACTAGTACTATTTAACATAATGGAATAACGATCATTACTTTCATAAACATTAGGCACAACAAAAATATTATTTGCAAATTAATAATGTAGAATTGTAGAATAACGTCTACCGCTACATAATTATTTTAATCCACAGTCAGACTAGCTATTAATTTAACAAAATATCAGTTTTATCGGAATTAATTAATTTTTGAATCGAGTCACACGATATCATTCGATGACTATGCGAATGCAGTACGATGATACGATTACTTTTACGTTGCGGCAATCACTAAAATTCGCTAAAATGACACTAATGACGTTTAAAAAGTGGCACGCTCGGCTTCATACAAATTTTGACACATGCTGCATCTATCCTTGGTGCCGATTACGGTAACTTTTATAACGTCTACAATCCAGACGCGTTTCTGATTCTGCGATACGATTGGTCAAAACAGCTGACGTACGCTGTTGAACGACCAATCGTATCGCAGAATCGAGAAGCGTGTCTGGATTGGAAACGTTAAAAGTTACCGTAATCGGGGCTCTTATCTGTGGATCTAACTGTATGTGTACCTACATTTTTTTCTGTACCAAAGTGATGATCAGAGGACAAGTTACATTGTTGGAACATCCTGCCTACATTAAATTAACTCTTCTTATTTTGCTTATGGTCAGTCTGGGAAATTGCAAATTACGACTTCCCAAGCGTTTCACAAAAATATTTTAAAACTTATTTCAAAATATTGCATGTTAGGCCAGTAGAATTAAAAACAAAAATTGATTAAATCGGAAATAATTCCTACAAAAGTTTTTTTTGCTTTAATGGCTTCATTGGTTGCCCATTAAGACTCTCCTAAGTTTTCGACTTCGACGGAGTTGTGCTTAAGTGGTGGGGGCCCCCGAAAGGGGCGTTTTTTCGGTTTTCCGGTTATACCGCGTAAAGGACTTACCCTATCGAAAAGTGGTCTTCATGACGGTTAAAGGGCACTTAATCCTGCATTGAATAAGACCAAATTCATATGTTTTGGACAAACCGTTCTCGCGCTAAAGTTCGGCAAAGTAGAAAATATACGTACCTATAATTAATGACCCTTTCCACGTCCAATGGCTTGTTACCCACATGCTTCCAAGCCTTGTAAAGGGTCGCCTTAACCAGTATAACCCTAACAAGGCTCACGAGTTTGATTCGCTTATCCTTGTTCGTCCCAGCCGTTCCTTAACTGCGGTTGCTGCACCTCTTCCTGGCACTCTCCTGAACGACTCTGTGTTACCTAATGTGGCTGCCCCTCTTCCTTGTACCCTCCTGTACGATTTCATTGCTTAGCCATATGCCTGGTCCAAGGTTCGACGCCACAAAATCAACTTCGTACGAGTGAAAATAGTTTAAATACTATTTCCCGTGCTTGCAACATTTTTCTTTACTGCTTCGCCTCTATTAGTCGTAGAGTGATTGTATATATCCTATAGCCTTCCTCAATGTATGAGCTATTCAACACAAAAATAATGATTTCAATCAAACTAGTAATTCTTAAGATTAGCGCGTTCAAACAAACAAACAAAAAACTCTTCAGCGTTTTAATATGAACTTGTTGTTGTTGATTTTTGGCGTCGAACCTTAGACCAGGCATACGGCTAGGCAACGTAGTCATGCAGGAGGATACAAGGAAGAGGGGCAGCCACAGTAGGTAACACAGAGTCGTTCAGGTGAGTGCCAGGAAGAGGTGCAGCAACCGCAGTTAAGGAACGGCTGGTACGAACAAGGATAGGCGCATCAAGCTCGTAAGCCATGATAGGGTTACACTGGTTGAGGTGGCCCTTTTCAAGACTTGGAAGCCTGTGGGTAACAAACCATTGGACGTGGAGAGGGTCATTAATTATACGTATATTTTCTACTTTGCCGAACTTTAGCGCGAGAACGGTTTGTCCAAAATATATGAATTTGGTCTTATTCAATGCAGGATTAAATGCCCTTCAACCGTCATGAAGACCACTTTTTGATAGAGTAAGTCCTTTACGCGGTATAACCGGAAAACCGAAAAAATGCCTCTTTCGGGGGCCCCCACCACTTAAGCACAACTCCGTCGAAGTCGAAAAATTAGGAGAGTCTTAATGGGCAACCAATGAAGCCATTAAAACAATAAAATCTTTTGTAGGAATTATTTCCGATTTAAAAGCTAATTCTACTGGACTATGAAGCAGGGGGGCGATTATTATTTTTTTTTACTTCGGATGCGCTCGTTAGTAATATTGTAATGCGTTGGAAACTCCAGTTTTATATTTGCTCTTTGTAGCAATTTTATTTTATATTGAATGTTTCAATTAACTGCTTGATTTAGTCCCATCACTAATTTGACAAGTGAATTGTCATTTTCACTTTGAGTGAACCACAGATATGGAGTGAACCATCTTTCTTTTTGTCGGATCTGTCAAACAAATCGGAAACATGGCAGAGGTTTGTAAAATATTTTCGGGTTTTCTATCGTTATTTACGGGAATAATCTTTCAGTGAAATAAATATTCAAGACCAGTGAATCGTTTTAGTTAAATTTCATGATCTTTTCGTGGTGTTATTTCGTGATAAGTGACGTGCAATGTTTACGTTTTGCAGGTCGAGGAAACTCTCAAGAAGAAGCGTACCTTCAGGAAGTTTACCTTCCGAGGAGTTGATCTTGATCAGCTTCTGGATATGCCCAAGTAAGTGTTGAGCGTATCTTTTGTGTTTTGGACATTTCGAAGTATCTTTTAAGGTTATGATTGACCAAGTTAGGTTATATTGTTCGGTTTAATTTACTTCATGGTGTACTTCCAGTGAACAACTCATGGAGTTGATGCACGCTCGCGCCCGCCGGCGGTTCGCGCGCGGTTTGAAACGCAAGCCAATGGCTCTCGTAAAGAAGCTGCGCCGCGCGAAGAAGGAGGCTCCCCCAAATGAGAAGCCCGAGATCGTCAAGACCCACCTGCGCAACATGATCATTGTCCCCGAAATGGTTGGCTCCATTGTCGGTATCTACAACGGGAAAACTTTCAACCAGGTAAATAGTTCATCTTCTAAATACATTCAACCTGTGACTGACTCTCTACATTCTTTATTATTGCAATTTACCATGAATGAACAAAAAGATTAAATGTTAAAAAGATATGAATGACTATTTCAATTAATAATATTTCAAAGATAAGCTTAATTTGGATTACTCAAAACATCATGCCATTTTTATTACCATTTTAAATACCATCTGTTCATTCATGGGTTGCAAAGATTTTCATGAATTTATAGAATTTGAGATGTAAACTAGATACAATCATTATGCTATAGAGGAATTTTATGTAAATGGGTTATTAGAATTGTTTTTACAACTGCAATTAATTGATTACTAGTTTTTAGCCAAAGCCATAAGTTCATGATCTGTGATGCCTTTGTCAAAATCTTTAGCCTTATGAAATTAAAATTATGATTATAAATATGCAAAATTACATGAATAACACTTCCAGAATTGCTGCCCCCTTGGCAAATTACCTGACATTATTTAATTATGTGGAGAAATTTTTAAATTAAAAACAAATGTGATGGTGGTAGTTTTATAGATGTCGATTTTGTAGATTAATATCTGTGCAAACTGTAATTACTTAATAAATTGTTTCTAGATCAATGCAGACTAATGACTTGTAAACATAATATTAAAAATGTATGTATTTCTCCTTCCAGGTTGAAATCAAGCCTGAGATGATCGGTCATTACTTGGGAGAGTTCTCCGTCACGTACAAGCCCGTCAAGCACGGTCGGCCCGGTATCGGTGCCACCCACAGCTCCAGGTTTATCCCACTCAAGTAGACTGTGACACATTCTCTAGGCTAAGTTTAATGAAAATGTACACAGGCTTACAATAAAGTATCTTGTGTAACCATATTTTGTTTGATTTCTTAAAATTCCAAAATAGGGATCAATTTCATGCTTTTACTAGCTTATGCCTGTGGCTTCACCCATGTGATTTTTAGTTTGTCACAGATCGTCATAAATTATAGTTTACCATACCATTTATATGCCCATGTTAACATGGGTTAGTGTCGGCTCATATACCCATTTACCTAACACCCTGTATAGAGTGCACAATTTACGCGGTCTGATATCACTATAAAAGAGATCTCATCCAGACAACCTACCCGGAGGATAGTTTGCGTAAAAGAAAAGAAATATGTATTCATTACCTCATCCGGAGGATAGTTTGCGTAAAAGGAAAGAAATATGTATTCATTACCTCATGATAGTAGAGACAGATCCCCACACGGATAAAAGAAAGATGCTTTTTATTCATATCTTCATTAGAGTGTTATAGAGCTATTTTATTTATGATATCAATGTATTTGGAGCCATTTCACAGTAAATTAAAAGAGATGTAGTCACGAATAGTTTGCGCCTAAAAAGTTTCATAGCAACAATTTACTCGCAGCTTTGCTCCTTTTATTTCTACAGGATTTGGTGTAGAATTTGGAAGTTTCTCTGGGAATGCTTGAGAAAATGTGATGTGGAGTTTAAATCATGGAGCACATAATATTAATTTAGGGCCATTCAATAAGTACAGTGCCACTGCTCTGTATTTTTAACCGACTTAAAAAAGGAGGAGGTTCGCCATTCGGTTGGTTTTTTTAAAAGCCAGCCAAGCCATATCAAGGTGGCGAGACACCATACAGAAAATTGACGAATGCACTTGATAAAATCAGCATACTCACTTCGCATATCAGTAGTGTGTCGACTGAAGTTCAGTGACTCATGGCCATGATGTATTCATATGCGAGTCTTATGTGCTGAGAGACGCCAATGCAAAGAAATAATAATAATAAAATCTTTATATGCATGAAAGATTTACAAATGCGGTATGAGTAGGTATGACAATCTTGTATCTATTATTTCTTGTGACAATAACACAAAAATGCCGTTCCCAACTTCAATGGCTGCCTCTCCCACTTCGACGCAAAGTCAGAATTATCTCTACCCTTTTTTCAATTCTAAATGATCCCAACTCTCCTTCATATCTTAAGTCTCAGTTTAACCTTCTCAGCCCTAAGCACTCACGTCAGCTCCGCTCCTCCAACAAGTCCGTTTTTTCCACCCCTCGTCACCGAACTGGTTTTCTCTCCGACTCCTTCCGTCTCCAGGCCATAAGGCTCTGGAACTCTCTGCCTGAAGAGACCAGGCAAGCGTCTAGTAAGTTTTCTTTAAAAAAATCTGTCCATAACAACTTCCTCCAAACGATCTTCATGAATTATTGTAATTTCAGTTTAACTCAATCATCAATTTTATGTATGTATTTATTTATTGTATACTAGCTTTTGTCCGCGGCGTCACCCACGTGAAATTTAGTGTCACAGATTCGCATAAATTAAAGCCTACTTATATGTTAATCTGGGTTACAAATAATAATACTATAAAGTTTCAACCAAATCCGTTCAGTAGTTTTTGCGTGAAAGAGTAACAAACATCCACACAAACTTTCACCTTTATAATATAAGTAGGATTTTATATATTATTTATGTACCTATATGTATGTAGCATATTTGTTTTTGTTTCTCTTTGCACTAGAAGTACCGCCAAACAAATTTCTTTTCTGCTCAACCCAAAGGTAAACCGGTCGAGAATGCTTTAGTTAGTGCATTAAGTTCGCCTTATGTACAAATTTATTTTGGCATTAAAGTTTAAATAAATAAATAAATAAAATATAGCTTCCTTACGTCTGTTGTGTATTAAAATAAAAATTATCTATGTTTAACGTATTCTCAATTTTCCGTATCTTTGACTTACTGTGCTCATCGCCATGTGAATCGATCGAAATGTGATTTTAATATTAGATTATGTAAACTTACCATTCCAAAGATAAACATTGCAGTTACATCGTTGTGTTTACCTACACAAATGAGGGAAAAATAAACAATTTACCTTCTTTCACTCGCAAAGTGCTTCAGGGCCTCATTCCGATCCTGTTCCGTTACATTATGCACCGTTTAATATGAGGGCGGAACCAGGGGTAAATGGTACTAAGGCGAGGTTGTAATCGAACTAGGCCGGGTAAATTTACCCTGCCCAAACAGAGTCCTACCAAAGTAGTTAACATGTCCGCTGGGGTTAATAGAAGTGCATTACCCGTCAGCTCGGCACATCATGCCTCAGCGGTCATCATCTGAATCCAGTTCGTGTCGGTTGCGACCGCCTGCATCTCGTGCCTACTGCCAATGAAGTCCATAACGCAATGTCTCGAAACTTCTGTTTGCCGAACCCTTTTTTGTCTTGACACCTCCAACCCTACATGGACTTAACAATTACTTATGTATAGTTAAGTAAGTAATACGTTTTGGAGAACCGATTTCGTCATGCTAATGTCAATGTGGAATGTTGTAATCATGACCGCTAATTGATTCGTTGTTATAAACCTAGATTAGGATTTCTAGGAAGTTTGTAATAGGGTATTCGTAGGTGTATCTACTTACCTTAAAGTAAATTTTACAAGTCCTTAAACAAATTGAAATGCTTGATGGATTTTAAATATGAAAAAAAATATTAAATAATGTTAAATGCAAGTAGTAATAGGAAACTTTCACGAGAAAACTTGGAAAAGAACTTTTTAGTTAGGTAGGTACAGCATTGATAATTGAGTGTTAATTTACTCTTGTTACATTTTGATAGCTATAACAAAACTGTTGATAATTAATTAATTTCCAGTTACCAGCAGTTGGACTGGATCATTGACTTCACCATAAAGGCATGCGAGTGAAATGATCTTGCAACTAATTTAAAAGTCGTTCATAAGTCTTAATTAATTCTGCTCTGTTTATTGGCATTGTGCGATCATTTGACATCAATTATTCTTATTAAGTGAGCTAGATGAATAATTTATTAAATGACTTTGTTGTTACCTAAAACCTCCAGGACGAGTTTAGTACATTATGATACCATACGCACCTAAAAGTACGAGGATCTAGTACCTAATTCGAAACAATTATTGAAATATTAAAATCGTTTCAATTTTAATCCTATTCGAAACAGTAGCTACACAATGGTGACTATTCAGATAATAACATTGAAAATAAATATGGAATTAGTTATATAAAACAACGGGTTGTAAGGTTTGCGCCTCGAACCCCCAACCGCTAGCTTTCGTAGCGCGGTTCACTACCAAGCTACTCCCAAAGGGGGCGTCCATAAATTACGTGAGACAATTTTGCCCATTTTTCAACCCCCCCGCCCCCCTTGGTGAGATTTGGTGAGATTTTTCCTGACCCCCTCCCCCACCCCCCTAATCTCACGTGATATTTAATAAAATGCCTATTTTGCAATGTTCGATGATGCTTCGATTCTATTAGATTTATATGAAAAAATCAATAACCCAGTGTCGTGGTGCCACGCGCAGTGCAGGGTTCCGTAACTTCCCGTCGTTTAGTAAGACAAGCAATTGCTTCAACCTAGGACCAGTTTTTTGATTCATAGTTAAAATAACTAATTGTAAAATTTTGCTACTAATGGTTAAATATTAATAAAATGTAAACGAATAGTTAAAAAATGTACTAAAAGCACATGAGTAAAGAAACGGAACAAAGACAAAGCTTCTAAAGAGCTAGCAAAATTTATAGGTACCTATTTTGGTAGGGTGGACACCAGTGTTGGCACAAATCAATTATTTTTTTAATGAATTAATTAATTTTATTAAAATAATCATGATTAAAAAAGTAATCATAATCAGGATTAATTTGTTAATCATTAATCAATAATCATTAATTTGATTAACTTCCTAATGTTCTATGGAAAACAATGGAAATCATTGAATTCTAATATTAGATGTTTGGTTTTAGGCTACAAAGTCAAAGTCAAAGTTAAAGTCAACCTTCTCGTTTAGTAAGACAAGCAATTGCTTCAACCTAGGACCAGTTTTTTGATTCATAGTTAAAATAACTAATTGTAAAATTTTGCTACAAATGGTTAAATATTAATAAAATGTAAACTAATAGTTAAAAAATGTACTAAAAGCACATGAGTAAAGAAACGGAACAGAGACAAAGCTTCTAAAGAGCTAGCAAAATTTATAGGTACCTATTTTGGTAGGGTGGACACCAGTGTTGGCACAAATCAATTAATTTTTTAATAAATTAATTAATTTGATTAAAATAATCATGATTAAAAAAGTAATCCTAATCAGGATTAATTTGTTAATATTTAATCAATAATCATTAATTTGATTAACTTCCTAATGTTCTATGGAAAACAATGGAAATCATTGAATTCTAATATTAGATGTTTGGTTTTAGGCTACAAAGTCAAAGTCAAAGTTAAAGTCAACCTTCCGTAGGAGGATATCAGTCTACTTCCCCTACCGTTCCAGCGCCTACTGTAACCAACCAGCACCATCCAAAATCTCTCAAAGCGATGCCGATGACGTTTTTTTTTAATTTCGAATTTTCTTAATTTCGACATATACAGTGTGTCCGGGCTTGTAGTGATCAAACTTTAATGGCGTAATCTATGGACAATTTTATCGATGAAAATACTTCAAAGGGGCTTGACCCATTTGTCGCAAAATTACGAGGATTTAAGTTTTTAATTTTTAGTTTTCACCTCTTCCTTCAAAAACAAGTGAAAACGTGGGTAACTTAACATTAATAAGCGAATATTTCATATCATGCGATAGTCAATAAAATTATCTATTAGTAGAGGTAGAAAACGGACACAAGTTTTATACATTTTATGGAAGTAAGAATGGATTGAATTAGAAAAAGACATGATTTTTTTCACTTCTTTTTCAGTTATTTTCCAACACAAGAAAAACCAGGTCGTTAAAGTATGTTTTATTTGCATTGTATTATTGGTATTTAAGCTATTCTACAAAACGAATGTAAATTTATTAGTCTACGTCTATTAGTTTCGACGTAATTGTTGAACAAATATACCCCTTCCCAGCCGGTTCCATAGTGCTGCTAACATGCGAAAATGCACTGCCTGAAAGAATCACACAACCTATTCCGACGCGCTATGGAACCGGCTGGGAAGGGGTATCTTTGTTCAACAATTACGTCAAAACTAATAGACGTAGACTAATAAATTTACATTTTGTAGAATAGCTCAAATACTAATAATACAATGCAAATAAAACATACTTTAATGACCTGGTTTTTCTTGTGTTGGAAAATAACTGGAAAAAAAGTGAAAAAAATCATGTCTTTCTAATTCAATCCATTCTTACTTTCATAAAATGTATGAAACTTGTATCCGTTTTCTACTTCTACTAATAGATAATTTTATTGACTATCGCATGATATCAAATATTCGCTTATTAATGTTAAGTTACCCACGTTTTCACTTGTTATTGAAGGAAGAGGTGAAAACTAAAAATTAAAAACTTTAAAAACTTAAATCCTCGTAATTTTGCGACAAATGGGTCAAGCCCCAAATTTGAAGTATTTTCATCGATAAAATTGTCCATAGATTACGCCATTAAAGTTTTATCACTACAAGCCCGGACACACTGTATTCTGCATCTTTAGTGTTCACAAATGCAGATGGAGGCATTTTTAGTTTAATTTCATGAGACGGTTTAGAATAAATTGTCATTATCATCATAAAAAAAAATCATTTTTTTACTTCAATAACCCAGTTTTCTGGCAATTTTACTCTATTTCTTGCGGGAAAAATTACGTGATATTTTCCGAGACCCCCCCTCTCCCCTACGTGAGATTTAGTGAGGTTTTCGTTGACCCCCTCCCCCCCCTAAAAGCCTCACGTAATTTATGGACGCCCCCAAACGCCGTTGGCTTCAAACTTCGGATAACGTTGTTTGATGACACAAAAATACAGAAGTACCTAGTAGTTTTAAAAAAAATCACACTTGAAATGAAAACTGAAAACTGAGCATAAGATTGATACTTATTTTCGTAGCAATTTGAATTTTAACTTAAACTGTATTTATCTACTACGTTGGAATCTCGTACGTATTAGATATCTTCAACATCTTTCCTTGATCAAATTGAAAGTAAAATTCACCGTGATTTTCCCGGTTTTCCTAGATCGTAGCACGTAAAAATTTACGTAGAGTGCCCATGTGCTACGAGACTACGAAAACTATGCATTTTAAAAGATTTCTTTGTACCTAGTAATAATAAATTGTTGGTCTCGGCACAGAATATTAATAAGTACTGTCTCGGTTACTTAAGATGTTCACACAAAATTAATTGTTTCGTCGAAACGACCTCTGGAATAATAGGTAGTTGCGCGAACCACTAGGGAATGTGGCTGGTAAAAAAATGGATGCATATAAAAATTGAAGATTTACTTTACCTATTCAAAAAATAATAAAAAGATAAGCTAAAAACAAATGACAAAACTTTTAATTCTATTCAAACGTTAGCATGCCCATTTGAATCACTAGCACGTTCTTGAAACATGATAGTAAGTCATACTACGATGCAACGTTAATAACATGTAGGTAAGTAACTTATTTATTTCTACAATCGGTTATTTGTTAATTAAATGAATCAAGTGAAAAAAAACTAGGACCAGTTAATCATCGTAAATTAAGTTACCATAGTCGCGGGTTCGAATTCCGTGGAGGGTCAAGCAACGGGATACAAAGAACTGCAAGCTGCTCTGCTACTGCGCAGGAGTACCTAATGTATACGAGTATATTTAATCTATTAATTTAAGTATGTATGCCTTTGTTATCTAATAGCCATACTAAGTACAATTTCAGTCTGGGTTTAGGGAATTATAGGGAAAAGTTGTAAGGTTTATTAGTGAGACCCTAAACCTAAAGATATTTCTAAATAAAATTATGCTGCCGTGTTCACTCACACGATCGACTAGTTATCAAAGTTGTTGGGTGTTTGTATCGGATGAAATACTAGATGAGATACAGTAGATTTGTTCCAAAGTAAATAACAGGATCAACTAAAAATAAACGTTCTTCAAACTAAACATTAGATTTCAGTTTCGGCGCCTGAAGCATGGCCAGACGGCCTGGAACTGGCAGCAATCTTGTCATAACTAGAATGAAATTGGTGTAATTAAAACTTATTCCATGGTAGTGAGTGAGTAAGGGCGCTTGTTATACCTATTTATAAAGAGCAGCGGAGGCTTCCCCGGCTATGGGCGACGGATCGCGCGCTCGGACGCACGCCGTGACACTCCTCGCGAATTGTAGCGGTTTTCGCACACGACTACCTCCGCAACCAGTCTAACATTCCCGTGAACATCAATGAACTTTCACTTAAAAGTGTCTCTAAAGTGAATTTAAATTATTTATATTTATGTGTTGTAACTGTGAAGTGAACATAAACACTTTTTTGTGAGGAAGCAATGTTTATTGTGTTATAAAAACCTGCTTAACGAGGTGAGTAAAAAGATAAGCAACCGCACTTTTTTTACTTTAAGAACTGTTCTTTATCTGCGAGGATGGCAGCTGTTTGTTGACTTAGTTTAGTCGGCAGTTAAATAGTTTGTATGGATTTACCTTAATTGCCTCATCATAATTTTATTGTTTTATTTTTGTTTATCTTCTCAGTAAGTTGCTCGCTTGCTGGAAGATATCATGGCATCTTATAAGTGTTACTAAGAATAAAAAAAAATATAAAATATTGAAATAACTAAATAAATTACATTAACATATTTAAACAGACATCCGATATAACAAAAATAGTAAGTATAAGATAGACTTAGGACCCACTGAAAGCTCTGAAAATGAAAGCTGAATTATTGCGATCAGTTTATAAATAATCTCGCAGATTAGTTTTTAAACAATGTTTTTTGATATAACAAAAGTTTAGATAATTATGTATCTGTAAATTATTACTAAAAATATATTCGCAGTTAATTAGAAAGTTACTTTAAGAAAAGATTTTAGTTTTTATATTTTGTCTTGAATTAGTGAATCTTGACCTTTAATTTACGGTAAAGAATTTGATAATAAGTAGTACGAGTAGTAGTATTTTTTTCAGTGCACTATTTGTTAAACTCGTATACCTAAGCTAAGTATTGATAAGAAAATGTACCTATATGTACTTATGAAGTGCAGTTGAAATTATGAATTAGATACGTCTTTGAATTTAACTTGAATAATAATACAGAGCTAGGCAAGCTTAGTTGCGATTTATTTAATGAAACAACATGGATTTACACCATTATTACCGTAAGATTGTTATTATTATGGATTATTAAGTGCAATTTACGTTGTCACTTAGTTACCATGCCTGAAGATAGTGACAGACAAGATAGGATTTTAATTTGTGTTAAATAATTAACAAAAGTAAGGTATGAGCTGGTCACATAAATTAGTAGAACAATAGTTAAGAACAAGTAGAAATTCATTAGTATTTTGAATTTACGTTGGATTTGAGTTTCTTTAAGCAGCAATAACTGGGTACGAAAGTGCTACAAAATGTTATTTTCCGCTGATAAAAAATAAAAACATTAAACAACTGTAGACTTTATTTCTTTATCTAACTAACTCCTGTTTGTGTTAAGATTCATAGAAGATATGCAAAATGAAGTCTGTCTGCGTTAAATCAAGGTTGTTTTATGAATGATAGCCGTGGTTAAATTTACTTTTGACGTTTAAAAGTATTTCATATAAACATTACGGACGTGCTCATATTTTGGGATATCAACAGTAAATAAAGTTGAGGCAAATAACTCAGAATTTCCTGTATTTCAGAACAGTGATTCACTATAAAGGAGTACATCCCGCTTACTCACGCATTTTGCCGAACACCAACACGTGGCCATGCTATTTGTTTACCATTCAATGCCACAAACTAGCGTGATAATAAAGAAAGAAATGAGACTGCTAGTTATTTCTGTTCCTATGTTCCTTTTAAGTTTAACGAACTATGTACTAAAGGCTTGCATTGAGAAATTCTCCGAAACTAAAATACCTAACTTACTTAGCCATTTATCTTTGAAATCATCATCAAAGTTTATTCTACTACGAGCGGGCGAGAGAAGCAATCTAACTCGTATCGTTCAAAGTGACCGATAAAACATTGGCACAATACTAAACATGGTTTTAACTTGAAAGAAAAAATCGATTGACTGAGCTGGTAAGTACTACAAAGTAAAATAAAGTAAGTAAGTAGTGCAGTCCATTAAAGAATTGCAGTTACTAGTTATAAGTATCTACTGATATTGAGTCTGAAAAAATCTTCCTGTCTAGGTCTGAAGTAAGATTCTGTAATTAAAACATAATATACACCCTTAAAAACTGTTCTTACTGGATTAGGACGTGGTATGTATCGGATGCATAAGTATAACATGCGTAATTTAATCGTTGCAGATCATCCAATATCCAGGAAAACCACAATACATCAACCTGCACGTCATAGGTGATATATTAGGTGATATAAAGCTTTATAAACAACGATCAGACACTCAGGGTAAATTGTTGATTAGGTAGGTAGCTAATCAACTAGGTAGTTGCCAAAAGAACATCTGGTGAAGTTGCAAGAAGACGTTTAATGGAATTGTTATTTAGGACTTTTTTCTTTTTCGGCTAGGTACATACCTAACATACTATCTGCATGATCCATCAAATATTAGGATGACATTAGATCATTCACTTTTTGTAAAATAGTTCCTATTACATCTCCATGAGATGCCACAGTAGGTATCTAGCTTGTTGTGCTGTCCCCTACATGTATTGTTATTAACTAAGTATTACGTCTGTACCACCACGTGGCACTTACTTGATTACCCGCGGGCGCACCCCGGCTGTGACAGCCTGGACAGGACACCTCCAGCAACCTTGATCAATTTAAAAACCTGAGTTGATTTTTATGTGCGGTAGTTTACCGTGGGTTAGGAAAGAACGAAATGATAACAAATGGGTATTCATTAAGCAACAATTAGGAAAATCCTGATATTTTATTCTTCTAAATTCAGCCACTGACATTCTTGACCAAAAGAGTAAAATTAATACTTTACAAGTTTTGTCGCTTGAATGGAAAAAGCGCGTGTAAAGCGTGTGGTCCTATAAGACTTCTTCCTACATAGCTATCCTACTACCTAAGCAAGGCAGTCCGTGTAGGCTGATGAACTTTTACATAGAACGGAATCTTACTAATGTTACTCACATGTCTATCAAACCGACTTATGAAATGTAAGAAGATTTTCAGGAACATTTCGTAAAATGAATGGGATGGGACCACGTTACGCTATGTAAACATAGTACATAATCTCAATTTCAGGGTGACACGAAATGGTGCTGCTAATAACAGTGCATGGTGACAAGACGAGAATGACAATAAATGATGCCATTAAAATTTTGTATTGCAGGTTACATTAATTCAACCCATTTTTAATGTAAGTCAGTCACATGATAAAATTGCTGTGCAGATGGCCTTTGTGATAGCCTAATAGGCTGTTAATGTATTTGATCGGAAGGTCGTTTTTGAACCACCACCTGTATTGTAGGATAACATTTGTTACTGAAATGATGATTAATCCTTTAATACATGACAATAGTTTTGGTATGTTATTGAGTATCTTGAACATACCTACTTGTAGATTATGATGTTGCGCAGATGGCTAATTCACGGTTTGATGTTCCTGTAGGTAGGTAATCCTGTGATCTTGAAACTATCAGAATCTGATGATAATCATATTCTAAGATAGGTAATATAAACTATCACATCTGCTAAACATTAAACTATTGATCTCTAAAAGGATGACCCATTTATTACTTAGGTACATAACATAATATACTTTTGACTAAGCATTTAATCGCGATATTACCTATATATGTTTGCTTTTACGGAACGATCCAGGCAACACGTTTTTCTTCAGTTGCCATACCAGTTTGTCGGTCACCATGCTGCTCTTGGCAGTGACATTCGAGCGCAATTTTCACCAGCTGAATATCCACTTACTTAGCTGAGTAATGTTTCTTTGGCAAAATAATTTATTGCATCTTCTCCCACGCATAATTTTCTGCATTCTTAAAGAGATAATATTCACATGAATCAGAATTTAAATCCTTAAACCTGGTATGACTAATTTCATTCTCGATAATAATAATTTTTCAGAGATAAAACTTGCCCTTGCTTTGATAAAAAATTCAGCCCGTAGGTTTTAGGGTTGTCTAACATTGGTTATTGCTACAATAAAATTTATATTATATTGACTGGTCATCTAATCTTAGTGGGTGTAGCTGTATCTACTTAATACACACGTGGACGGATAAATTGCGTATTATTTCATAGAACAGTAGCGTTTTTGTCAGCTCATCAATACAAACAGACCGTTGTTTTGCCAGCGTTTAGAGGTGCGAGTTTGCCAGTTGTCGTAAGTGATGGATAACACCTTTATTTACTGCCACAATAAACAATGTTGTTCTTACTGGTTCAAGTTCAGTGTTGGAATATTGTTTGGTGCAAGTTAGGTAATTCCGATGAGCAAACTGTATGTAAGATACCTATGTAGCGTCATAGTACTACCATGTAATAGTGTAGGTACCTACTAAATAGTTACTACGGTATTGGTAAGAAGTACCTACTACTATAAAAAAAATATGAATGATTTTTCCACTTGCGTACAACTTGAAATATGCGAAAAAATAGTCAACTAAGTACGTCTAACGCGGTAATTTAACTGACAAGTCCCGTAACGCATTTATTCCATAATTTAATCCTGTAAATTATTAAAAATGCGTTCTAACACAAAGTTGTATCAATATTAATAACGGTAATTTCGAATGGAAATGATTAGGGGCTTTAGCCCGAGACCCAATGCAAAGTACGGCGTCTAAACGTGCACATAACTTAACGTCACGTGACAACCGGTCATCGAGTCATCGGGCCTTGCGGTTAGGGTTGATGATAACTTAATGTATTGTTGAGGTGATATTCTTCATATTGTTTTACATTATATCTATTAAACTAAACTAAACTGATCAAGAGGATACACTTATGACCCAAAAATTCAGTTTTTATAAGTGGGATTAAAATGAATAAAATACCCACCTACCCAAGCAAACGATGTTTCCGAATGGAAATGCCTTTCCGGAAAATTCACGATTTTTCTCATATAAACTCCAATTTGTTAATAAAAAAATAATGTTAATGTAAGTAAACTCGCTCTCTCATAACGTAGTCGTACCTACCTAGTAAGCTGTAAGTTACATTGAGAATGAAAAAATAAACGAAATAAAAGTTTACTTACCTGTCAACAGTTTTGTGTTAGCGCGATATGTTTTTTTTATTGAGACTATTCAATTAATAGAGCTCATTAACGTTTCATTAATGCATGCTGTTTTATTTAGCTGTTAATTAACATATCTATAGTACTTAGTTAGTGAATGAGTTTATGGATTACATCATCGAAACTCGTTTTAAACGCTCTTAAAATTTGATAAGGGTTGCATCGTTTGCCGCAAAGAAAAAAGGTCGGTTAGTAAATCTTTCATCTTCAAAAGTACTTGACCTAGTTTAACAAGTCTAGGGGTAAAATTAAACTCTCCTTGGATCCACAACGAAAATATTCAGAAAGTAGGTGATAAACGAAGCTAAAGATAAAAAAAGGGGATGAAAAACATGAAAATAAAAGTTTTATGATACTTTTTACGTATAAGTAGTAAGATACACGTTAGCTTTACTATTGTTTGATTATGCCTTCTCTAATAAGCAGATCTGGTTTATGATACCTTGATGATGACCTTAGCACACGGGCCTACAACACGAGTTTGGATTAATTTCGCAAAAAGTTCAAGGTTAAGTTTATGGAACTAGTTTTATCCTGAAATAACTCGACATCTATTAATAAATAGTTCATGGGGAAACCCAGATTTCCACGTGTACGAAGTCGTGTTTATAATATGCTAATTTGATCCTTAAAAAAATAATAGGTAGAATGTATGAATAAATAACGGTAATGTGTCAAGGTCTCCCAGTATAATTTAATAATCAGATCTCAGTTATAACTTGATGATCAATTTGATGATAGAAACATTTTTTTAGATTTTATTCTAGTAATAAACTACTGTATGCATTCGATTTCAATACAGTACCTACCTATCTAGTCTAGTAAATTGACACAAATCAAAATATAGAATTTCATTCAATACTGACTAGTTTATATAACAAAGAGGAAAACTTTTATCAATGACACCTAGGTAATAAGTAAAATTAATAAAAATATTTTTGACTTAATGGTAATGTAAATGGGTACTTCTCATTTACACTCAAATTTGATGGTCACACAATAATAGTTCATAAACGGTATAAGTTAGAACAATAACTTTGAAATCAGATGATAAAATATCTATTTAGCTACATACAAAATAAATTTTATCGTAATAGAAGCAAAAATAATACGAAAAAATCACATGAAACGATAAAAAACGGGGTCATTTTTCGCGTTCTCATCATGTCACACCTTCGGTTGCAATGAAACATTTGGTTACTGCATACACAATTTTCATTCAATTTGTGTGCAGCATATACTAAAATCATCGTAATTAAATATGCTTTCCACACAATAGTCAAAAAAATATCTTCTTATAATTATTTTGAATTGAGAAACCGAAATACGTTGGTCACACGATTTTAGGTACCTAAAATTTTGAGTTATAATACAAGATTGCCGTTAAACCGAACACCAGCAACCAATCACAGCGTTCTATTCGGTTAACGTCAGTCGCGCTTCGACCATTGGGGAGGTGAGATAGGTCGATCGTCGCTCCGCGAAAAAAATACGTAACTTTTTGTGATTATCCATAGACATACCGTCGCTTGCTTGAACAATATTTTCTACCTCTAAAATTTAAACAATTTAATTGAAACTTTGCCATTGAAAACTTAACATGTTAGACTTATTTGTGTAGTATTCAACTTGAACCGTTAAATTCAAATTTAAGGATAATTCATAAAAAACTAAAATTTTCGTCACCTTCGTGGCATCACCTTCGTGGTGTTTTATACACGAAGGTGATTTTAGGCCACGAAAGTGATTTCTTGCTTTGGTTTATTTTAAAATATAGTGACTGGTGTTTATGTTTTCACAATATTTTAATAACTAATAAATTATACGTGGTAAGTAGAGATCAGTACATCAATAAATAAATAAGGGCCTCGTATTTTTGTTGTCTGTCTGTCTGTGTGACTGTATGTATGTCTGTATATGTGACTGTGTGTGTATTTGTTTGTAAGATAAATTTAATCTGAAGTTTGACTTAAAAGTTGTACAACAAAAATACGAGGCCCTCTGGCCTAAATAAAAAATATATTTTTGTTGAGGGACTGATAAATCAGTTAGAGTTCTTTTTTATTGAGGTACTGATAATCCGTTTTTTGCTTCTTTAGCATTTCAGAATGCCACCAGTGTCACCCTTAAAACCAATTGCGTAGAATCTTGTAACTTACTTAGTAGGTGACGTAATTGGTAAAATTTTATCTTGTATTTAAGTAGGTACCTATTTATATTATGTTATTACTATTTATCTATGAAAATAAGACAAAATATATGTTTTATAAACACTTAAGAGTCATTTACAGTAGTAAAGTTTGAAAAAAATATTGCTGTGAAGTACAGAATCACTTTCGTGGCATCAAAAAATTCAAAACGTTAAATCTTCCGAACGAGACTCACTATTTGACTGATTTACTGAGAATACAATCTTCACATCAAGCGCTACAATTTTTGTTTACAAAAAGTTGAAATAAGTTAGAAATAAAATTCGCCACGAAGGTGACGATGAGAACCGTGGCGATGAGAAATAGCCAAATACCTATTGTATGGAGGGTCTAAGGAATCATTCTACGTAATATAATTGAAGACCGTAATAAACCAAAACATAGATATCAATCAACGCATTATTCTTCTAATATCGACAATAATGCGTTGGTTTAATTAAAGTCGGTTGGTTGGTTTTGAATTAAGGCACAAATTGATTCATCTGTCAGTATGCAAATGAACATTGAATAAATTCAATGAATACAGTAATCATAACGTGGCAGCCCTATAGCAGCGGGTTTCCCGCGCAGTCCGCCGCCAGCCGCCTGTATCCACCGCAAACCGGCGCGCACCGCCGCGAAAGCCTCTGCGTGTCGCCGCGCTAACGCAAAGCTCGTACGCAAAAAAGCTTTGCCGTGCGAGCTTTTTTGCTTTGAGAGTATATTATTGATACATTGTTGCGCTCTAATCTCTTCAACTTGTAATAGTTCTATTTAGTTTTGCTAATAGCTAAAACTCTTATGTAATGCTTGACTTGTCGATTCGATTGCCTGGAGTTTAACTTTTTATAATAAGGGGGATAGAGTTTAAAATTACGTTTGCAGTTTTTCATAAAGGATTGTATTTAATTATTTATCCCGCTTAAATACTAAAACCTACTATACTGCACGAACAATGTTAATGTAATCAAAGAAAAATCTGTAACTTCCTCATAGCATTCATAAACGACTATTTCTCATCTCTAGGGAGTCCTTGATTTGAGTGGCAATAAGTAAATACAAACATCAGTAGAGGAAATTCAACATGAATAGAAATAGCAAATATCGTTTCTTTGCGAGATCGAATCAGAAATGAGGAGATCCGTAAACGAACCAAAGTCGCTGACATAGCCCGACGGATTAGCAAGCTGAAGTGGCAATGGGCAGGGCACATAGTACGCAGAACTGACGGCCGATGGGGCAGAAAGGTTCTGGAATGGAGGGCGCGTACCGGAAAACGCAGCGTGGGACGTCCACCTACAAGGTGGACCGACGACATCGTAAAGGTAGCAGGGAAGCGCTGGACGCAGGCCGCTACCAATCGATCAACATGGAAAGCATTGGGGGAGGCCTATGTTCAGCAGTGGACGTCCTATGGCTGAAATGATGATGATGATGACCTGTCCATAATCCATTGTTGTTATTACAGCACTAAACAGAATCTTATCATTCGATCCGATTAAAATAAGATTAACTCAAGTGTGTTGTTCAGTCTCGACGCGTCGGAGACTGTACACTGTATCATAGGACTTGGAGATTATTATCGGTGCACTCTTCATAATCCAGCTTATCGGCGATAGCTGTCGGCAAATGCAATGGAGCAATAAAAGTTATAAAGTAACTGCCTACCACTAGTATTACCTTCACCCAGTTAGTTTAAACCAGTGTTTTACTGTGCGTCACCGGTGTAACCCACCTATTTGTTTTTTATCCTTCCTGCTGATATGTATTCGATTTCGAAGAAGCATTCGATCAACATATTTGCTGACTATGCTGATACTGACCGGTATGGAAATAAACTGCGCTATCAAAAAGATACAAACTAGACAAGTGTGACTCGTACGCACATAGGGTTCCTTCAATATTTAATATCGCTATTTATAAAGAAAACATTCTGAATCCCTGTTAATTTTTTAATCCTTGCGTATACGGCACCCTAACGTCGCTCTACTTCGTAATTCTAAGTAGGTACTTCAAAAACTAACAAATCGTTAAAGTATCAATCTTACTTTTTATAACATTAAAATAATATTAGTTACGACACGAGTAAGACATTTTTGTGTACACCTAAACTCGTGCGGACACGGTTATCTTTGAAATAATATAGCAACGACAGATTATTTACATACTACTTCCTTTTCATTGTGTCAATGTCACTACTAATATGAATAATTTTTAAAACATATTTATAAAAACATACATACAACCCACTATTTTTCGTTAACTTACTTATTTAAATTAAAAAAAAAAGTAATAAGTTGCTTAACGTAGATTTTCTCGTCATCATCATTTTCAACCATTTCTGAACATAGACCTCCCCCAATGACTTCCACATCGCCCGGTTGGTAGCGACCTGCATCCAGCGCCTTCCTGCTACCTTTATGAGATCGACCTAGATTATCTAGAATTCTAGATAGTTTAAAAATACCTAGCTAGTTAAATTAGGATTTTACCTTTACCAATTTTCCTCATCTTTGCAGACGCCTGACTCAAGGAAAGTATGTGGTTGCTCACACATACGACAAATTACCCACGTTCTACAATCACACGTCGAGAGCTGGACCCCTGCAGAACCAATCCTCGGTAGTCCACCGACACAGCAATGGAAGGGAACAGGTAAATTACCTGCAGGTTAAAATAGGTACGACTGGTAACTGTAACTCTTGGAAAATAATGGACGTCGACTAAATAAAATAATAAATTACTCGCATTGTAGTTTTTGGCGTTCTCATACTTAGTTTATTATTTAGCATACCAAAAAAATATAATGCGAGTCAACAGACACATTTGACTCGTTTTAAATTGAATGAAAAAACATGACAAACATTGTTATTTCAAAACAATTATAGGTAGCTGTGTTTTTCATATTGTAAAATGATTGATTTTTCTTGTGTCAAAAAAGTATGAGACACTAAAATAGTCTCTACGCTTTATAATGTAGATTATGGGAGATATGCTGAATATATTTACGAGATTTGTAATAAACCAAAACAACTATCTTAGACTCAGTCACCACATCACATCAAATAAAATTATGATGATTGAATAACGTTTGAAAGATTAGTAGCAAAAAATTAAAGTTTGCGTTTTTATTTATCCTTTAGGTCATTATGACTTCTTAAAGTCGTTTGTTTTATTATTAAAAGTGCACCGAATACTTAATCACGGAATGAGAAGTTCTCACAAACGAAACTGGTTTGCCACCTTGACTCATTTTAAACTATGATCATAAATTAATAAACCACTAACAATTACATTTTAATGATAATAATGTGTGAAGTGTGACGTCACTTGATTAGCACGTGTTATAAACGTAGGTAGGTATATGATCATATAGCCTTTGTTGGTGTAGGTATTGATGCTGTGTGGGCGAAGAATGTGATCGTCTGTGGGAGTCTGTGTCTGTTAACTCTACATGTAGTCAATCTTTTTATCTCGAATGTTGACAAAAGACTCTACATACTTTTTTAAAGCTTTCTGTCTCATCTACTTAGTTACCACGCCATAAATGGCACTGGTAATACGATTATGCAGCAGCAATACACAGCCGAAACCGTCAATTATGCAAAACAAAATAATATTTATTTAATTGAAGCGGTCAAAAAGCGTTACATTGGTAGAATTTTTTAACGCACATTCCTGTCCTCAGATTCTCAGTGTCCACAGTGGAGCCAGAAAGCAAGAAGAATGGCATCCACATGGGCGCTAGCATCATATCGCGGCCGCTGCGGAACTCTGCGGAGACGGCGGAGCGAGGAGTGGCGGTCGTGGCTCCCAACGCCCACCCAGATACATGGCTCCACGATGCCGGCTGGAGGAGGAAGCGGTCCCTGGCACAGCTCACCAGGGAGGCCCTGCCGAGGATGGAAAACTATAGGAACTCTAAGAGGGCGCTGAAAAGGCCAAGTTTAGGAGAACTGCACGGAGACCACTTAATCACTGAAGAGGTATTGTAATTTTTTTATTGCTTTTTAACTACATATTGTCCCAGTAGACTAGGATAATAACATGTATTTTATATGTACTTTATATTTACGTTTATTGAGATGGGATATTAGTCGCTGAAAAAAACTCTAGAATTTTGAGAATCATTTCCGCAACATATTTCTGAATATGTAAACATAGGTAATAATTTTAAAGTGTATGTCACCCACAATTAAAGTATCGTTAGAGATCTTCAGTAGTTCAGTGGCAGTGTCCGTAGTTCCTAATTTGAGACATTACCGTATCGAATACAAGGTTTTACGACAGTCATAAAGTCTTTAGCAAATGTAAATAACATAATTGTTCGGACAATCTTTTGAGTGACATGCTAATTAGCATATTATGTGATTTCACAGACGTCTCATCCGAAAAGAACCAAGGATTATTAATTAATTATAGTTTAACAATGAACAATAATAATTGTAAGTAACTCATTAATAGCGATATTGCTATATACCGTACCGCATAAGAATTAACCGCGAGAAAACTGCAGGAAAAAGGGTTAATAATTTATTTAAGATATAAATATTTTATTGTCACTTGTCTAAGTTATGACATAACAATTGCATTGTACTTGCTTAATGTGGCACGTGTACTCTGGGTACAACTGGTGGTACGGAAATATTTTCATTTACGAGCGTCTTCCTTTACGGCTTCGCGGAGGCTACGAAGGACCGATTTGGATTCGTTTGTTTTGTCACAGAATAAGTACAAACCTAATTGTAGTGTGTTTTGTTTCGCACTTCCGCGATTTGACCCAAATCTAGAGGCAAAAAGTTTTCCTGGGCGGTCACCAATGTCAAACATCGTAAAATTAGGTATTCTTTTTGGTTTTCGTAACGCTTGCGTGTGACTCTTTACATTGTTTTGTTTATTTCGCGCCTTTTCTAAAGGTTTTTGTTTGTCTACTGCGTATATGCCTTGTACACAAACAACTCTTGTAAACATCACATTCTTGATTGCTGTAAATGAGCAATATTTGCTCAAACATTGCACGGGTCACTTAAAGTGTTTTCATTGCATTATTGCTCCTCATTTATTTGTCACGTTTACAAATAATTATTGTGCACATAGGTTTTATTAAATTGTATTAAACAAACGAACAAACAAACCCTGCCTAAGTATGTGATTACTGGTACAAATGCGATAGAAAAATGGACTGAATGGTTATAGATACTTCTGAAATATTTGTATTCAAAGATGACTTTGATATCGATCAATATCATAAGCCTGTTGGTAGCTGTTGGTAGGTACTTATTCTAAATCATAACGTCCTTTATTTAACCGAATCAAATGCAGAACATGCTCTACCTACCTACTCTTAATTGTAGCAATTAGCTATGGACGGATTTCAGGCGCAGATACGCCTTAGTGTCGTGTTGTGAGATTTATTTTATATTATTTATCTTTATTCATAAAAATTAAATTACTTGTACCTAATTAAAAATATTTTTTGTCTTTGTAACTGTTGTAATTAACCTTTATTTTGTCACAATCTTTATTTTGTTACAAACTATTTATTAGTGAACTGCCACCTACGTTTTAAGAAAAGATGAAGTACCTAAAGTTCTTCATGAAGGTACTCCAAGTCGGTAGTTCCGTAAGTAGTTGCTCTACATAAGGTGTGTGAATGGTAGATAGTGTAGACAACAATTTGGTGTATTTATGTCTGTTTTGTATTTTCCTCAAGTTCTTAAAATTACTTAAGTAAGAGCCAATTTTACACTAATTAAGTTTAATTGACGGAACAATTAGTTGAAACGTCGATCTTAGTTAAATGGTCTAGGTCACTATGACCATCCATGACCTTCTTTATTTCCATGAACTTTGAATGAAACTGAAAAAATCATTGAATACAAACTTCAGTAATTTTGAAAAGTGTTATAGAAAAATCAATGCCTCCCTATAAGTGCTAGTATTTAAATGAAAAACCAATATTAATCTCTACAGTCCACTTTACTACAACTTTAGGAGGATTCCGCTATAATCCCCTCTCGTGTTCGAAAGCTTATAACTTATAAACTTGATAAGGGTGATTAAAAACAAAAGGCTCCGACTCCTATCTTGATGATGGTAGCCGGAGCCGGCCGGATCTAGTTCGCGGCGCCGGCCGGCCGGCTCCCGTGGCGACCGCTCGCACGCATGAAGAAATTGCCATCAAGTTAGACTAAACGGTTTCAGTATAGGAATTTTCCAAGTACTAGCCTTGAATTATTAACAAAGGCCTAATGGAGTGTAATTAACCCTTACGTTATTTTTTTATTTAATAACTTTTGATGGAAAATATTGGACGAAAGAAATTTCCTAATCTACTTACTTTGATAACAACTGTCTACAGCATTTTTGCGCACGGGTTATGCATAGCTTATTTTTATTGATTTATGACCTAGAAATAAGAATAACAACAAAAAAATGTTCTGAATTTGCTTTTATGTGTAAAAAATAGAAAAATTCATATCTATGAATGTATGAAACGTGAACATAGAGATGATTCAATTGGTTGCCAAATATATTTTTTTCTTTCTTTCTTTCATTCTTTCTAATTATTAAAACATACCAAACATCCATTTAAGATTAATTCTCACAAGAGATAATTTAAAATAGAGTCCAAATATTTATTAAGAATGAAAAGTTCTAATTTCCTGTCATGTTCCATAGAAGATTTTTCGCATAAAAATCTAACCCTATCATGCTTTCAGTATACTGGCCTTGGTAACGTCGTCTCTCAAATCTCACTATATTTTGATGAAAGCGTGCCCCTTGTTCTTGCGAATAAGCCCCCATAATTATTTATAAATATATCCCAATGAGAATGGGACGTGCATCTTTGGAGACATTCTACTATGAAGATGGAAAATTCAAATCGCTATAACTTCTTAAAAAGCAAATATTTTCGATTTGTAATCGCACTTTTTTATATAAATTTGCTTATATAATCAGAATATAATAAGTAAAATCCATGCGCAAAAAAAAATTTTTTTTTTGTTGACCGGTGTAATTAATCTTCATCATCGTAAATTAATCCACCTTTATTGACGATTCCTGACCATCGTATCTGTAAGACTTCTGGTGTTAGGGATGAATGAATGATGAATGGACGATGGTTATCGCTTGCCATCATTTCAGGTGACCCACTGACAATGAGTACGTGCTCCTGAAGGCCTTTACATAGTTTCATAAAGTTTACACGACTTTGTTTATCGGCACCACATTTAGCAATTCGATTCGCCACGTTAGGTCACAATGTGGTAGTCGTTTTTACACCTTTTATGAATCAACAGTCACTGGACAGCCGGTGTCCATCATCATCTATTGTAAAACGGTGTCATCTGTCAGTCATCAGCGGACGCAGCCTAGGTATTTACTTTTCATTGACCACGTCACGGTATTTACCGCAAGAATTACTTTGCTTCATGAAACGAATCAGATTGTTTCTTATTCATGTATTCATTCATTCATTCTTAACTTGGTAGATAAGAATGAATGAATGAATATATGATAATAGTATTACCTCATCATTATTGGACTACAAAATATGGTTAGCAGTACATAATATTAATCAGGGTTATTATACTTCCTTTACGTCATTATCCTCAAAAAAGCACGTGCCTGACCGAGACAGCAAGAAGTTATCATCATAACTTATCGTTTTCCCTCTAAGGATTTATATTAGTTTATTTATATTATCCAAGTTGTTCAATCGAGTTACTTGTTGCAGGACGAAAAAGACCAAAGAGACACTAAGTCGCCGACCCCGGCGTTCGGCATCAAGTTAGGATGGATACAAGTAAGTACAAAACCAGTTTCCTTGAGTAGCAACGTCACCAATCACCATCATAAAAATGAATAGAATTTTCATAGCATACTCGTGTCAGTTATTATGTTTTAATGTCTAGATTTTTATCAACTACCTAACTATAGCTGACCCCGCGAACTTCCTATCAGCCAAACGGTGCTGAATGTCGTATTATTTTATGTATGATTTTTAGGTACTTAATTAGTCACTGTTCAAAGTTGCTCTGAAATTCAGGTATCATTGAATTTCTGTATCGTATACGTTCACATACTTTTGGAAAATTAATGTACTGAATGTTGCCCTGATTTCTTTTAGTGTACAACAACCTTACAAATAAAATAGAGATAATTTCAGTTCACGTGTCTAGCTCAAAAAGTTATGACCGCGAAACATAAAAAAAGACGAGTTTCATAATAAAAATCCTAAGAAAGATACTTCAAGTGTATGTACTCACCAGATAGTTATTTCTAGGGGGTGTTAATACCATGTCTGCTCAACATCTGGGGGGTGATGCTGTTCCTGCGGATTTCGTGGGTGGTGGCGCAGGCGGGCATCGGGCTGTCGCTCGTCATCATCGCCATCTCCGCCATCGTGTGCGTCATCACGACGCTCTCCATGAGCGCCATCTGCACAAATGGGGAAGTCAAAGGAGGTAGACCCTTGGATTTTGTTTATTGCTTCCTTCAGTTCCAGCAAGAACGAGAAGTGGGAAAAGTCCCTGCTTTTCCGAAACAGAAATACCCATGAAGTTCTTTACAATCAGCATTCGTAGTTTCGGGCAAATACAGCCTTTTCCATTTGAATAAGCTTAAAAAACGATATTTTCATATTCATTGTAGGTATATTGCAATAAAAAATTACCATTCAATTGGTGAAATATGATAAGTGCAATTTTATTTTTAAACACGATGATCAATGACTCAATTTTAGTTGTAAAACTGGTTTCAGTTGTAATAATAAAATAAAGAGTAGTGTTATATTAGAAAGTCACAAAAGTGGATGAACAAGCCAGCTTCGCGAGCTTTCCTAATACTATAAAATAGGTATAATACACATTTTAAAGAATCTAAAACCAAGAGAAAGTCTTTTTTATTATTCACCGTCTTTGAAATCACTGTCTACAGCTTTGTCCTATGCAATGAAATCATCTAAGTAAGAAATAAGTGGAGCCTGTAATTATAAATTAATTTTACCGAATTATTTCATAGGTGGCATCTACTACATCATATCCAGGTCCCTGGGCCCGGAGTTCGGGGCGTCTGTGGGCATTATCTTCGCGTTCGCGAACGCGGTAGCCGCTAGCATGAACACCATTGGGTTCTGTGACTCGCTCAACGACCTCCTCAAGAGTCTGGACGTGAGGATCATCGATAACGCAGTGAACGACGTGAGGATTGTGGGCACCGTGGCTCTCATCGTCATGTGCTTCATCTGCGCGGTGGGAATGGACTGGGAGAGCAAAGCGCAGGTTTGTAATGATTGACGTATTTTTTTTACCCAACAAGAAAGCTCTTGGCCTGCATTTCACCTGATAGAAAGTGATCAGGTAGTAGGTGGAAGCAACGCTTCACCCGGAATCTTCAAGCACAGAGGAACTGGCAATCTTACCTCCTCCTACCTTACCTCTTACATCTTACTTAGCCTGTTTTTAATTTTCGGATATAAAACTGTCTCTACGAATAGATTCGAAAAAATGCGTAGGTAGGTAGTATTTTTTAACGTTGGGTTTCCCTGTAGAGATGAATAATAAAAATTAAAAAGGTAATTAAAGTAATTACTCGGTTTAATAACATTAATACGATAGCAACAGTAAAATAAATCCGCAGCGATGACTCAGCGGAGCATTTGAAACAAATTGCCGCGACTATTGTTGTTGCGCTATACTTTGTGTAGTTCACACGCAGAACTTATTATCTTTTGTGTGATCCTGTATTACAGAAATTCCGCACCAAGTTAAGAATATTTATCAAATAAAATGGATAAATAGAAGTTTAGTACCGCGCACCAAGCACGCACTGTTGAAACCCACAAGCCACCACATTGAAAACAATTTATTATTTTATCAGCGACTTTGTTACATGATTTACGATTAACTTAATAGTACAACTACTCGTAGATGTACTCGTACAAAGAAACATAAACGATTAAATAAATGTCTTTTTATTATGTTAACATCAAACTGTTATTTACGTCATTGGAAATTAAATTGAACATTAAATGATTTGTTTGTTTTGGTATCCATTTCTAAGAAATATTGCTTATTGTATGAGTAAGAAATATATAACTGAAATTAAGTAGGCTTTTATTGAGGCTTTGTTAAGTTTACATAGACAGTAGTTTTTATTACATCGCTTTGTCGGAAATAATGCTGAAACTATATGTCATAATTAAACGACCAAGTATATAGAAACACGTGAGTTTGTTAGTTCGAGTAGGTAGGTAATTGACGATTAGATTTGTGCTTTATAAAACTAATTATTTAAATACATATTGCACTATAATTTTACATTAATATTCACGTTTATCAAGAGTAAATAGGTATTAATTACTCAATAAGTGTTGTAGTTTATTGAATTTAATAAACTGCGATATCCGGATTTATTGATCCCTAAGGTAGGTGTGGATTGGTGAATTGGTGTGGTCTATCATCAGTATTTGTTGTTATGTATTTTATGATAGAAATATTATATTTATTATACACTAGGTAGTTCATAGCCACAAATATCTTGATCGAGAATGAACAATCAAATGAATCGCTTAAAATTTGATCAAACGAGATCAGCTCATTTATAACTCCATCTTTATTTACATTATCCGAAGTTATTCAGATCATAACAAGTGTTATTAATATTACCCTGAACATCGCCATACAGACGAAAATAACCGCGTAGATAAATAAACCAATAATTTTAAGCGGGATATCAAAGGATTTGTTTGTTTAATCATACTAGTTATTTAAATACTGAACTTATGCGTTTCCTCTTGCTGATTCTCTTACAAGAATGTACTATATTCTCGTTATTCAAAAGACTGACGTTAACAATAGGCAGAAACTTTGTGTCTAGATACTAGCGGGCGCTCGCGACTTCGTACGCGTGGACCCATTTTACCCCCTTATTATAGTTAAAAATCCGTTCTTAGCGGATGTCTACCCCCTATGAGACCTGCCTGTCTTTCAAGTTTGTAGGTTTTTACTTTTTATCGTGATTAATCAGTGAGTGATATGTATTTCGCTTTTCTAATATAATAGAAAGAAATAAAAATTGTTTATTTGGTTCAAACATAGTAATTTAACACAAATTGAATAGTAATTATAAATAAATTGTTGAACCAAAATGGCTCCTACTCGGTTTGCGGTTCGAATTAAACTAATATTGGTGGAACAAGTTGGCTTATTGGTCAAGCTAGTTTTGAATTATAGTTATCAGTTCGGGTAACGGACACCGTCCGGCGATAATGACAGGGTGGTGCCCCAATTGACCCAGCGTACTGGTAAACAACCCGCCCTTCGGCTACATATCTATCTACCCTACATATTTAGGGCTGTCAAAGGAATCGTTCGTTCCAGTCAAATGACGTCCACTGCTGGACAAAGGCCTCCCCCAAGGTTTACCACAATGCACGGTCTCGCGCTGCCCGCATCCAGGTATACATCCCCCAACCTTCACTAGATCGTCGGTCTACCTAGTGGGGGGCCTGATGACAAAGGAATATTCATGTGGATTCGACATGCATTTTGCTACATTATACATATAGACGGTTTACATAGAAAGATATATTCCATCTTGCTCTTTCTGGACTAGTTTTGAGTATTGCTCAGCTGGCTTATCTTTCAGACACAAACTAAAATTAAGCCTATTGCAATCAGTGTGTGCTTATCTAAGCCCTTGTTTTGACAGTTTGCTCAAACTCAGCTCTTATTTCTGACAACTTGACAGCCCTGCACACCAGTTACAATTCACTGCAAATTCAATGACGTCACTACAATAACAATGCTTTCGGCCAGCGGCCTTGTAGTGGAAGCTTAATTATGGCGGTGGCACGTTTTTAAGCAAATTGCCAATTAATTTAGATAGGTACCTAAATAACAGTTTCTCATATAACATACTTTATAATACATCTTTTATAAGACTTATTAAAACGTAGTTAGTACCTATTGGAGCTAATTAACGCTGTAGCTGTAACTTTTAATTAAGGGTTAAAAATATGCCTGAGATAGATACGTCCTCCTACCTAATGGTTGACATTATTTTCATTATAAGTAACTTCTTTCGAATCAGAAATGAGGAGATCCGCAGGAGAACCAAAGTGACCGACATAGCTCGCAGAATTGCTAAAATCAAGTGACATTGAGCGGGGCACATAGCTCGTAGAGACGATGGTCGTTGGGGCAGAAAAGCTCTCGAGTGGCGACCACGGGCTGGAAGACGTATCGTGGGCAGGCCTTCTACTAGGTGGACCGACGATCTGGTAAAGGTCGTGGAAGAGCCTGGATGCGGGCAGCGCAGGATCGTGCATTGTGGAAAACCTTGGAGGAGGCCTTTGTCCAGCAGTGGACGTCATTTGGCTGAAACGAACGAACGAACGAAGTAACTTCTTTACACTTTCATCTGTTGAGAAAATTACAGTAAGTAAATAAAAAATACAACAATAATACAAAAATAAGTACAGCAAGGCGTGAATTATCAGAAATGTCGCCAATTCGTTCTGGTCCGTTCCACTGGAGGCTCGCGTGTAGACAGCGTGTAGAATACGTGCAAGGACTAGACTTTTCACGTGTAGAGACATTGTCAGACATACTATGTAACAGTCGATCATAAACGACTTTACACAACACTGTTTGTGATCAGTTTTGTTGTTCACGACGTGTGTATTCCAACAAAATAACGTAGTAAACAAAAACAACTCATTGAAATTGCTTATCTGCTTGATTCACTTTACACATAAATGCTCAAATTCGAATAATTAAGCAATTTGAAATAGTCATTAAAATCATTCGTAGTAGGAAGTACTTACTTATGTACTCATCTTCTAGTAGGATTAGTTTTAATGCTAAAAATGTACCTTAAGTCAATTAAGATCAACATTAATGATATCCGTCTTAAACGTATCATGTAATCATGAAAATAAGCAAGTGAACTGTACTCCAAGCACGAAAAATTATCGTAGTTACCTACCGTAATCGTATAGTAAACGTAGACCTGAGAGTTTACGTCAAACGTCGTCACTAGTGAGCGCGTTTAAAAAAATCTATGAAGATTTTAGTTCTTGAAAGTATCCGCTAGGGGCGTCATACATTTAATGACATTTTTTCATGAGTTTACTCACACTTAAGCTCTCTGTAAATGGTTATGATAACGGATTGTTTGCTGTCACAACCATATTTTATAAATTTACGTTAAAATAATAAAATAAAAACAATGAAAAGAGCTAGCTTTTGTCGAGAGATATCTTTCCTCGTGTAACTATTTAGGAAAATTAATAAGTAGCTAAATTATTTTCTCTTGTGACAGCAAACAATCCGTTGTCATGACAATTGAAGCTCTACGATTGCTACGAATTACGATACGAGAGTTGTTCGTGCTCGGGGTACTGATCCCGTTGAAACGCGGCAAGATTGATGAGCACGCGACACTTTTATTACGCTAATTGCGGTAATATCCTTAATACGGGCCGCTAATGGGGCTGCCCGCTAATTGTGCTCTATCTACCTGTGTCATCACACACGTGACTTAATTTTTAAATCTAGTCTATACTTAATATTATAAAAAATGCGAAAGTAACTCTGTCTGTCATGCTTTGACGTTTAAACCACTGAACCGATTTTAGTTTTTATCCCGGTTTTTGAAACAGGGACGCACGTGCTAAAGTTTTTCTGTGACAGACAAAATTCCACGCGGGCGAAGCCGCGGGCGGAAAACTAGTTATTAATAAGGTACAGACTTCTACAGAATAGTAGATGACAACAATGTTTGTAGGTTTTGAGAAACTTCATTTTTTCTTTGCATAGGTCATCATGTAGCACACATGTGCACAGTACCTACGTAAACGCTTGTAAATTAATTAGGTTTTCACAATTAAATTAGATAGCAAGCAATTCCAACCCAACCGTCTATTGGCAATTTTGTAAACCAATTAGGTTGATAATAATATGTTCATGTCACAAAACTTTCGATAGTTCAAGTAATTTCAGTAAATAAACCTAGATAACTTTGATTGTTAAATGTTGAGGCTACTAAAATAGAGACCGATATAATAATATACATCTTACATACAGAATTCCAAAGTAGACTGGCGGGTCCGTGGCCGAGTCATCCGTGGCCACGGACCCAGACTGGCGCGGACTAGGTACCTACTTTAAAACATTATTTTCTTTTTCAGAATTTCTTGATCGCTATCATAGTAGGAGCTATGGTAGACTTCATAATCGGGACAATTATGGGACCAAAAGATGCGTCAGAAATAGCCCATGGATTCGTGGGATTTAGTAGTAAGTTAGATGGACTTTTGTAAAGTTACGTACCTGCTAGTAAGTATTAAGAGCTTATAAAATTATTAAAAAAAAACCACTTCTTTTAGCTGCGGTCTTCAAGGAAAACTTCAAGCCAGATTTTCGCTACAGCGAAAAAGTGCATCAAGACTTCTTCAGTGTTTTCGCTATATTCTTCCCATCGGTGACAGGCATTCAAGCTGGTGCTAACATCTCCGGGGATCTGAAGGTAAACGAAATCATGTTATCTTTACTCTGTCACCATTGTGTTGCTAAATATTTAGGTAGTATAGTATACTAGTAGTAAGGCTGGTTTTAGTGTCACGCGGACCGTCAGGTACGGACCCGCTCCGCACGGCCAATCTGTATGAACTTCTAGGGAGCGTTTTAGAGTAATGCGGTCCGGAGGAACCGCTCGTTCCCGCTCGTAGCAGTTCATACAGATCGGCTGTGCGGAGCGATCCGCACTGACAGTCCGCGTGACACTAAAACCAGCCTATCATGGCTAGCACACCACACGTAGAGTCCGTCGATTGAGTAATATGTTTTGTGATAAAGAGTTGAAGCTATTTTATATTAGCAATAAAAATACTTAAATGTATCCCGTATCCTGTTTTTTGAGTAATATAAATCAAACAAACCGGCGTACTAATTTTCAGAACGTCCTAGGCGCATTAGGTTACCTAGTTTTTTTCAGTAAGCGATCTTACTAACTCTTGGGTGTACCTACAAAAAGTAGGTAGGTACATCTACTTATCTAAGCGCTATAATGGTCTGATCGAGGGCGGGTAAGTGTTGTGTATTGTATTAAAAGCGGCGAGCAGTCGATTGGTTCGGTTGACGTCAAGATGCTTTCATTAGCTGGGCGCGGTGGCTACTTTCCTTTACATTCTATAAACTTCACAGTTTCTAAGGAATCGGTTAAATATAGACTTAGTAGAGAAGCCCCTTTAAAATGCGATTAATATCTTTTAAGAAAATATGGGGTGGACTTTTCTAGGAGGTAATTATGTGTACGTACGGCGCCTACGCAAAAGCACGTCACAACTTAATGAATTGGAATAAAAGCGTCAAGTAAAACGAAACACGTGATGATCTCAATTGAAAAATGGATTAGTCGTTACAAGCAATGAACACAGTATCCAAAGCATTTTAGAGCTTATAAGCTACGTCATCTACTCGGCCTTGTAATCGATCCCGTGTTGAAAAAGGCAAGCACACGCGCGTGTAGTGTCACTCTACTGCCTACGCTACATACAACGCTCGTATTTCACGTGACGTAAAGCCTACGTCACGGGCAAACCAAATGGACGTGTCATGGCTGACTGGAAAAGATGAATCAATCAATTGAAACAATAACACCGCGAAATTCCTCCGGACCAAATCATATACCTACACGTGACGAGCTACAATTTTATTTACTCACTACTAACAAATCGAATCATTGAAACAATGCATTACATCCAATCGAAATGTCATTTCAGTTAACCCTGCGTTTCGAAATTTTATTACTCCTTGAGATGAGTCGATTCATTGAAGCCAATTAAAATGGCAATTTTATTTGGTGACTCAGTTCTATTCTGGTACGATTTGCAATTGTTCGAATCAGGGGCAGGGTAGAATTAAACAACCATAAAGTTAACAGGCGGGGTGGTTTCTTAATTAACTGTCTACAGCGACTACTACAGATGCGGGTTCGAATACCGCAAGGGCTAAACGCTAGTGTGATAAGCACGAGAGAGATTTTTACCCAGTCATCGATGTTTATTATTTTCATGCATCTTCATAGGGAATGAACTAACTACTTTAAAACTTTTGGTTCCAAGTTCCATTTCTCTTCTAGGACCCTGCATCAGCAATCCCCAAAGGCACCCTGCTCTCGCTGCTGATATCCATGCTGAGTTACGCGCTCATGGTGCTGTTCTCCGGGGGCGGGGCCCTGCGCGACGCCAGCGGGAACGTGACGGATCTGATCATGGTCAACGGCACCATGGATGTCAGCGGGCTGCGGGACTGCAACGGAACTTGCCAATTTGGACTGCACAACAGTTATTCAGTAAGCTTTGAAAAAATGCATGCATGCAACGTTGCTATAATTAAGAAACATTCTCAATTCTAACAAGCTACTTCTCCTACCATAAGCTATTTTTATGAAAAAGGAGGTGGAAATTAGGTGGTCTGAATAGGGTCAAGTCAGAAAATATTATGACAACGACTAGGTAGGTACATTATCATCTTTATCAGTTCATCAGAGAGTTCAGAGACAAATAAACAGGGCATGGGGATTGGGGTCATTGGGGAAGGTGGCCAGACGGGTTGAGGACGCTTGATGTTCGCATATTCGTCCATTGATCACCTTTAACAACAATAACAACACAGGCACACGGGAAGAATTTGAGTGGTCTTATTCAACTCTGCCAGAAGCACACGTTAGAATCAAATGTTAAGGTAATTCTCAAGAATTCGTTTCTTTAACAGGTCATGCAACTGATGTCGGGCTGGGGTCCGCTGATCTACGGTGGGTGCTGGGCGGCCACTTTATCCACTGCCCTCACAAACCTCCTGTCCGTACCTCGCCTCATCCAAGCCCTGGGCGTCGACCGCATCTATCCTGGACTCATCTTCTTCTCAAAGCCTTACGGGCGACACGGCGAGCCCTACCGAGGATATGTGCTTACATTCTTCGTGTCACTTGTTTTTCTTCTAATCGGTACGTAGGGAAAGTCCATTTAACAATTTATTTTAAATCCAATAGTACAGCCTAATCATAAGTAATAAGCATATCTTTGTGGTGCTATAAGAAAAGTTGATTTTGTATTTGTAAACTTATAAAAATAGGATTGTAAAATTACTTTTTAAAAATTAAAATACTTTTGTTTGAATTATTAAAGTATACGCGAGTACTTAGACCTAGATAGATTTTTTTTACATCACCATAATGTACTTACATAATATTATTGTAATTTGATTATTGCAGCTGACCTGAACACCATCGCGCCGCTGATCTCCAACTTCTACTTGACCTCGTATGCTCTCATCAACTTCTGTACCTTCCATGCGGCGCTGGTGCGCCCACTCGGGTGGAGACCTACATTCCGGGTAAGGAATTTAAAAATATTAATGAAAAAGTTTAAATACTCCGTGTCATTGTAAGTACCTATGACCATTCAGGCCAATAATAAAAAAAGAAACAATTATGTAACCTTTTTTGTTTTCAAATTAATTTCAGTGATTTGGTAATTGATATTCTTTTGTTTCTTCTCATGTTCGTCGTTCTGTTTTTTAAAACATAACAAAATATTTTTGTTTTGTTTTAGTAGTCAATACTTTTAATTTAATTAATAAATTTTCACTGTGTGTTTATTACTTTTAGTGGCATCTGATGACATAATAAGGAATCATTTGAAGAAGCATCATGATGATCGTAACTTCCTAAGCGAAATATTTCCAATTGTTCCAGTATTATAACGTGTGGGTGTCGCTCGTCGGCTTCCTGATGTGCGTGGCCATCATGCTGCTGATCAGCTGGATGATGTCGCTCATCACATTCGCCATCTTCATCACACTTTACCTTATCGTGCATTATCGTAAACCTGGTGAGTGAATTATTTCTTCTCTTTGTTGAGTAGTCAAGTTTTTCTACTTAAGACTATTAGAAGATTTAGTGTTAGGAAATACAATAAAGTATTGAGTATAGGTGTTAAGACTATTTTAAAGTTTCATTTTTTATATCCGTACCTATTCGTAAAATGTTCATTGTATACTTTTTGTAGAGAACTACGAGCGATACTTTTAAAGTTTTGTATTTTTTAAGTAATCTTCAAGATTTTTAGTAACGGTAAACTATGATACGTAATCTCTGGCAACAGTAATGACTCAATCAAATTCGATAGTTTGGGATATTTTCAGTACACAGGTAATCCTTTCAACCTGGCTACTTGCTCCAATAACTCGATGTTATCCCTTTTACTGTGTCAGTGGAAGTGGCCAGCCCCAGGAATAGCCAGTCTAATTCGGTCTGCCTCCATGAGCGATTGCATCATCACTCCCTTAGCCGGCGGATTGACTTGCGCAACGCTTGTTTGCAATCTCGTTTCCTAAATTTATTGTATCAAACTGCCAATCGTTCGCGAGAATTACCACTTTGATGCTGGAGTACGTAAATTTCGGTTAATCTGCAATACGCCATGGATTGGTTGACTCTAGCGGTTTTAGGGCGTATGAAACCTATCACCTGTCAATGCTATAACGTGCTAAGTATATCTCATGGGCTTATTTCATTATAAGTTTGACTTATTATTTTTTAAAGTCCTTAGTTGTTATATGAGTTAGATTAATTCAGAGTCCTAAGCATGAATGACTCTCGTAATCGTATAGCAATCTATAAAGGATTTCGACGACGTACAAATGTACGTGCTTCAGGCTAGAAAATCCTTCAAATATTCTTAAATTACAGACGTGAACTGGGGAAGCAGTACCCAAGCGCAAATGTACAAAACGGCTCTATCAAGCGCCCACAACTTGGCTCGAACTGGGGAGCACGTGAAGAACTACTGGCCCCAACTCCTGGTTTTGTCCGGGGTGCCGCAGACCAGACCCGCTCTGGTGGACTTGGGCAACCTCATCACTAAGGCTGGCTCGCTCATGATCGTGGGGGATATATCTGAGGTAAGTTAGCATCAGTAAATCATCATTATGACGAATATTTAGTTGATGCACAAGTGCGTACATAGCACGTTGACATTGTGACATTGACAAATTGGCCAAAATGGCCTTAAACTTGGAAAATTGCGAGTTACGTATGTATATTTTGACCTTACACGTGGAAGATGGCCACAAGTAACGGCAAATCTAAAGACAACGACATTGAATTGAACCCACCGAAGAAAATCGCTCTATCCAAACAATGGTCAATGCCATAATAGCAAAAGTCATGTGATGTTAGACCGCCTACCAAGCTGGACGCAATCCGATCGCATCATTATTTTATTCTCATTAACGATTGAAAACTTCTCCGAATTATATTCAGTCTTCCAATTTAGGAGTGTCTTATTTTACGAGTACTACAACCTCTACTAGTCACTCATTGTTATAAATTAAATAAAATGAAAACTGATAGCTTGAATGTAGTGATGACTTACAAATCTAGATTTAGCAGTCAAGATTTTTAAGTTTGTCTAGATTTTAATAACTTAAGTCCAAGGTCTTATTCTACGTGCCAAGATGAAGACTACGTAAATCTATAAAACGCTTTTTCTTCACAGAAAAAGTTATCCTACAAAGAGCGATCGCTCCGATCACGCGCGAGTGACGAGTGGCTGCGCGATCGCAAGGTTAAGGCGTTCTGCGGCGGCGTGCACGGGTTCAACTTCGAGCTGGGCGCGCGCGCACTTATGCAGGCCACCGGCGTCGGCCGCCTGGCGCCCAACGTGTTGCTCATGGGCTACAAGGCTGATTGGGCCACAGCACCCGCGGAGGATTTGGTGGCTTACTTTAATGTTTTACAGTGAGTGTCCAGAGAAAGGAATCATGTTACTATTGATCGCGAGTGACGAATGACTGCGCGATCGCAAGGTTAAGGTGTTCTGCGGCAGCGTGCACGGGTTCAGGCCACGGGCGTCGGCCGCCTGGCGCCCAACGTGTTGCTCATGGGCTACAAGGCTGATTGGGCCACTGCTCCCGCGGAGGACTTGGTGGCTTACTTCAATGTTTTACAGTGAGTGTCCAGAAAAAGGTATCATGTTATTATCGATCGCAAGCGACAAATGACTGCGTGATCGCAAGGTCAAGGCGTTCTGCGGCGGCGTGCACGGGTTCAGGCCACGGGCGTCGGCCGCCTGGCGCCCAACGTGTTGCTCATGGGCTACAAAGCTGACTGGACCACCGCACCCGCGGAGGATTTGGTGGCTTACTTCAATGTTTTACAGTGAGTGTTCAAATAAAGGATGTCACTATCGATCGCGAGCGACGAGCGTACGGACTTACAACTCTCTAGATATGAGTACGACTTTCTTTCTATCTTCATTCCCCACGGCTGACCAGGCTTCTCTCTCTCTCTCTCTCTTTACTCACTACAATGGACAGGTGGGTTGAACACTAAGCTTGGATATTCGAATGTGTATCCCTTTGCCTCCTTTTACGATATCCACGGGAAGAACGGGAATTGTCCTATTCTGCTCTGTCGTGACGACACGACTGAAATAATTACCTAGCTTGACATTCTTGTTTTAATTATAGCGCCAAATTAACTATTTTCTTCAGTGCCGCCTTCGAGAACCGCCTAGCAGTAGCGATTGTGCGCGTAGCGGGTGGACTGGACTGCGGCGAGGCGGCCGAGGCGGCGGAACAAGGAAGCGCGGCCGGCGGGCTCACCGCTACGTCAGCTGGTAGCGGCGACCTGCGGATACGTCGCGGGCCTTCCAACATCATGCACGCTGATTCAGACCTGGATATACGGTCGTCGGACTCGCAGCCATCTAGCCGGCACAATTTGACAAGTAAGTGAGCTTTTTAATACTTATTAATACTTACATAAAAGCAGTTTTAGGCTGGACTGCGGCGAGGCGGTGGAGCAGGGAAGCGCGGCCGGCGGGCTCACCGCTACATCAGCTGATAGCGGTGACCTGCGGATACGCCGCGGGCCTTCCAATATTATGCACGCTGACTCTGACCTAGATATACGGTCGTCGGATTCGCAGCCAACTAGCCGGCACAATTTGACAAGTAAGTGAGCTTTTTAATACTTATTAATACTTACATAAAAGCAGTTTTAGGCTGGACTGCGGCGAGGCGGTGGAGCAGGGAAGGGCGGCCGGCCGGCGGGCTCACCGCTACATCAGCTGGTAGCGATGACTTGCGGATACGCCGCGGGCATTCTAATATTATGCACGCTGACTCGGACCTAGATATACGGTCGTCGGATTCGCAGACATCTAGCCGGCACAATTTGACTAGTAATAAGTCCATAGCTTATAATAAAGTTGTTTAGAATGTAAGTCTGGTGGGCTCACCGCGACGTCTGCCGGTAGCAGAGACCTGCGGATACGACGTCAACCCTCTAACATGATGCACGCTGATTTTGACCTGAATATAAGGTCGTCAGACTCGCAGCCTTCTAGCAAGAACAATTTGACCAGTCAAATTATGCTTGCTAGAAGGCTGCGAGTCTAATTTGTTACCTATACTCGTATGAGTAAGTACTTACATAAAAGCGATTTAGATTGCGAAACTGTGGAGAGGCCACATCTGCTGGCAGCCATGAATTTAGACATTCTCCAAAGTTAGACAGACAGATTTACGGTGGCTCACAAGTTAATTGTGATGACAGTGACTGTCCAAAATTCTGAACTGGACAAACCTGTTCATCTGCCTACTTAAATCTGACCATTAAGGTGATTAAGGTTAATTTGCGTGTTTTCAGCATATCTTCAGCCACCACTTCACCAGTCAACAAGTAAAGTATTTATGTGACTCTTTTGTTGCAGATCTGTTGACGTTGACGACTTCGCGGTCGTTCACAATATCGGAGAAGGAAACGAAGGAACGAAAGAAAGACAAGAAACCGTCGGACATACATCGCCAGATTGTGTACAAGGCCTCCAACGGAGTTGAGATATCGAAGGCACAGCTCTCGCAGATGACTCTATTCCAGAGAAAACAGGTAATTTGAATATTTGGCATTGGATCTGCTTGGCAATAAAATAAAAGTTTTGATTTTGAAGGCATTCACTGATCTCAAATTCTACAGCATGATGTTGATTTATGTTCCCAATTTCAACATAAAGTGGGTAGAAGTACTTACATAAGTGTGCATCAATAGGGCGACGACGACGACGATAAGTTGTTGTATGTACCTAGTCAAAGGTAAAAATAAAAAAATAAAAAAGTGCCTTGTAGCAGTTGTAGCAGAGTCGATAGCCGTGTGGTAGTAACTGAAAACGAACCTTATTCTATAGGAGCCAGGGTCGATAGACGTGTGGTGGCTGTACGACGACGGCGGGCTGACGATCCTGCTGCCGTATATTATTTCCCAGCGCTCGGCGTGGGCGCACTGCAAGCTGCGCGTCTTCGCGCTCGCCAACCGCCGCCACGAGATGGAGCTGGAGGAGAGGAAGTGAGTTTTTAAAGAGGTTTCTGATTGGCAGACTTCAATCTGCTGCTACTTCACATTTAACATTTTGCGATTCGATTCCGATGCAGTGCGTAAACGCTCAGATATGATTCAATGATTTACATGAGTAGGTACCTAAGTAAAACATAATTACCTACTCCGAAAGGCATCAACGGAATCTAACGAGAGCGCTCTTGTAGTGTACATACACTACCCTATAAAGTCAACTCGATAAAATCTTTTCACCAAATTAGTAATTTGTAAAAAAAAAACAAATTGCGACTGGTACCCCATATAACATACAATTTGTGGAATACTTATTATTGGTTTTTTGGCCTTCATTTGCGCCAGCTCGGTTTGATCTATTGTGGCAGCCCTTGTCTTTAGACTGCTTAGACACTGCTTAGTCCCGTTGAGTCTATAAATTTCCAGATTCTTTGGAGCGTGATATCTTCTATCTCATCCGGGTGCATGATGTGTCGCCCGAGATGGATACTTCTTTTGCTCATAAGCGGCCCGCATGAGCAAAGAACATGCATGGCCGTTTCTTCTTCTGTATGGCAGAATCTGCACAGAGTTTCCTCGGTCATGTTCATGTTTGATTTGTGTTTGTTTAGTTTGCAGTGGCCGGTTAGTAAAGTGGAATACTTACCAAATCACTGCATTCATTGTCACCTTTGCACGATTTTGGGTCATTCAAATTGCATTCGTACATATCGTAGGTAACAAGCCGTGTTTCACAGATTTCTTGATTCCATATTCTTATAAGTATCTTCTTCATGTTCTTCCTCACTCATGGAGTTTCATTCCAGCATGGCGAACCTGCTCTCCAAGTTCCGCATCGACTACTCGTCGCTGACGATGGTGCAGGACATCACGGAGGCGCCGCAGGACGACACCAAGAAGATGTTCGACGAGCTCGTCAGCAAGTACACCTCCGACACCGCCAGTGAAGGTATATTAATTGACCTTTCCGTACCAGTTTCTTTATAGTAGACCAATGTTTTTCAACCTGTGGGTAGCCTCTATAGGTGGGTCGCGAGAGGTCGTAAAAACTACTTCAGTAAAAAAAACCTTATAAAGACAGATTAATCCGAAATCGAATTATGCAAATATTGTATGGATTGAAGTATACGGTCCCTACAAACATCTTTGCAACATTATAAAATGCATGAAAAAAAAGCGAACGGTCGCGGGGGGTCGCAAAAAAATTTTTCATACTAGGGGGGTCGTGTCATGAAAAAGGTTGAAAAAAAACACTGTAGTAGACCATTGCTTTTTAGTTACAAGTCTCATCCAATAATAGCATCTACTTATAAGATGCCAGTTGTAGTTCGATGTACCTACCGTCCGTTATTTGTACCTATATAAATCAATACTGATGTACCTAATAATATCCATTCACTGCATGCTAGTATAATCTTCTTCGTACCACTTCCACCAATACTTTTATGTTGCTAGAAAAGTCTTGTGTACCTAGGTCTACGTATAACAGTATCACTTATATGCTCTTGCTATCGTAAAAACAAAGAAATCCCAAAATTAGGTGGCAGTAGTTTGAGCACATAGCTTTGCGAAAAACTTACGTCCAGCAGTGGGCTACCATACCATGCGTTAAAATAATGATAATGCATATAATAAATGGTCATAAACCCAATCCTCTGTTTTGTCTAGGTATCACTTATAATATACTCTTGGTATCGTAAAAACAAAGAAATCCCAAATTAGGTGGCAGTAGTTTGAGCACATAGCTTTGCGAAAAACTTACGTCCAGCAGTGGGCTACCATGCGTTAAAATAACGATAATGCAAATAATAAATGGTCATAAACCCAATCCTCTGTATTTGTCTAGAGTGCCGCATCAGCGAGACGGAGCTGCTGACATTAGCGGAGAAGACAAACCGCCAGTTGCGTCTACGCGAGCTGTTAATAGCCAACTCCAGCGAGGCGCGCCTCGTCGTCATGTCGCTGCCAATGCCGAGAAAGGTAAGTGATTCTGTTTTTTACCCAAAACGGAGACAGGAAGGTTAGTGCTTCTTTTCTTTTACGGAAAAGTCTACTTACATCTCACATAATGGAAAGAGATGATATCCGGTACCCCGCGCTTTCTTAGACCAAAAATTTGTGGTTCATGTCTTCGTGGATGAAACAATCTATATTGTTACTTTAATAGTACAATTTTGTCGAATGTGTCACATTATGATGTAATTCAACATGATGATGTGATTTAAGGAAAGCAAGCATCAGATAAAAGTATATTTCCTTGTAAGTAAATCGCAATAGCAAACCTTGATGGCATGTTTTCCTTGACATTGTTTTACGTACTTACTTATTTGTGGCCTTCTTTCTTGTTTCTTTATTTCCATGATACCTACCTATTACTTAGGTCATAAAGATTAAAATTTCATCTTTGTATCAGGGCTCGGTGTCGGCGCCGCTGTACATGGCGTGGCTGGAGATGATGAGCCGCGACCTGCCGCCCATGCTCTTCGTCAGAGGGAACCACACCTCCGTGCTTACCTTCTACTCTTAGATCAATCTACACAGCGGGGTTACTCCAAAGTTATCCGATCTTTCGAATTTGCCGTCGCTCTCACGCAAAGAGATATGCCAGCATGAGGGACAGTGACAGATGGACCCGAAACTACGTTACGGAGTAGCCCTACCTACAGGTCACTAGGATAGGTGCTAGTGTACAGTCGACAACACATCAGATCAACATTTGTTGCAACATCGCACCGTTACTTATAAGATGCCGCCATATTTAATTTGATGTGCCGCCATCTGTAGTTTAATTTATACTTGAACTTGGCTTGACACGCTACCACGTGTCTAGATAAAAACAGGTACTTACTTGCCGATTATTTTCTTTTCTATGAGCAATGTTATCGATGTGATTAAATGGACTTTAAAATGATTACTCAAAAAAAAAAAACATACGGGTCGAATTGAGAACCTCCTCCTTTTTTTGAAGTCGGTTGATAAAGAAGTACAATGCCAACGTCTTAATAATTGTAATTATGTAGATACTTAAGCATCAATCAATTAGCCCTAGTACCGTGATAGTGCACCTATCCAGGAAAGTTTAATATACAAAACTATCAATATTTCTTTTTCTTTTGGTCTTTTTATATTTCCAGTCGATTGTTCGAGGGGAAAATCTATTTTTTCAACAAACAGAATATTATAAATAAGTTATTCTTATTTTTATATTTTTAGACTAATGTTAAACATAAGTAGGTATTTAAATAAGTGATTGACGTTTGTGTCTAATTATGAATTTAAACGTTTGTATGTAAGTGCCCAATACTTAATTAAGTAAAGCAATTGTTTGCATTGATTTCCTACGTAGATCATAAATAGATGCAACCGTTATGAGATATGAAACAATTTATAAAATGAAACCAAAGCCAATAACAGTTTTAGGTATTATATAAATCAATGCATTATACGTACTTATTTTTGTAACTTATTGCAGCATTTTTACAATCTTAACCATTATTTAAATATTATGTATTTAAGTTATTTACCTAGGTACTATTTACTCGAATAAGTAATATTTATGTTAGGTAGGTAAGTTAATTGTTAATATAATTATATAAAATCTAATTATTGTAAAAAGTTAATAAATGTGAATTTTTTTATTGAAATAAATGTATTTTATGTATTAGTGTACCTAACTACATATTAAAAAAAACACGCAAATCAAATAAAATTGCAAGATAGCTCTCTGTAAAATATTTTCTATTGTCTTTTTGTAATTAGGTTTGTTTATGGGTTTTTAGGTAGGTACTCCAAATATATATTTTTTTATTTTCTATTTTCAAAACATGTTAGGTATGTCGTTGGTTAATACATTATTTTTCAAAAATAACTACATCTTTTTTCTATTATTTATTTTATTATAATGATATTTGCAAACATTTCTGTTATATTATGTATATTTCTATTATTTTATTTATTACATGTCTTAGTTCTTATTCATATTATTTAATAATTTACTTACGAACAATGTCTGTAGCCATTAAAACAATATTTAATGTAAGTAATAATTTATGAATAAAATCTGATGAAAGACATTTTTGAGAAATAAATGACTACAAAGTACTAAAAGTGGTTTATTTTGACTCAACAATGGTAAATACGCCACATTAGGGCTCCTGCACACTTACTCGGTGCGTATGAACAGTGTAGCGGCGCGGCGCGGCGGCGCGCGGTGGCGGCGTCGTGTGCAGGAGCGCTTAGGGGTTTTTTCTATCCTACCTAATCCAAATCCGTCCGTCAACTGTCAAATTTCAATATGTTTTTGGTCAAAATATTTGCGGTTTTCAATGTTTTTAACCGACTTCAAAAAAGGAGGAGGTTATAATATGTTCGACTGTATGTATTTTTTTTTCTATGTATGTTCACCGATTACTCCGTCAATTGTGTCAAATTCTTGGAGTCGGTGCAGGAAAACTTTACATGTTTCATAATCTTGGCACCGACTCCAGAAGTATCAATCATGGTATATTATACCTACATAAATATTAATTCGTCCTAATAAATAAGTAGGTAATTAGTAATTATTTTTCTACTTTTTAGTGTAGGTTTTTTGGAGTCGGTTTTTACATTCATATTGTAAGACTATTTAAACAATATTTAAGTGTAAACACATCGAAAATTGTGGATATTTCATCTAAAACTTTTTTGGACAAGGATTGAATATGGGAAACGGACGTTAAGCACATTAAATAGAGCTTCGGTCAGGTTATAGTATGGGTTATGGGAATGAATCCCGGTGAAATTATTTTTTGAAAAAGAGAGAAATTGAAATTAGTTAATACCTCTTTAATGTAAACTTTTTCGACTTTTGATCCATTTGACAGTGTCAATTTAGACAAATCCTATTTTCCCTCAATTTTGTATTTCATGATTTTAGAATAAATTGAATGAATTTAAATTAAAGTTTATTTATACAGAAAAAATATTATGGATACTGAAAATCAATTACATAAGTCAAATGAAAAGCTATATGGTATGTGAATCAATAATTTTCCCTTAAAGCTTAAACACCGAATTTAAAAGGTTTTAAACTTAACGTGATGCTTTTAGCAAAGTAGTACCTACCTTGACCTACCTATATGTAAGTACATGAGTATTTAGTGTAAAGTGTAAGTGCCTTAGCCTGTAACAATAAAAAAAGATCTGATTGCATCGTTTGTTGACGAACACGAATGTAAAACAATTTTCAGTATCAGGGTATGTTCACATACCATGCGATAGCGAAAAATGTTTGCATTGATACATAATGTAAGTAGGCACTTCAGAACTATGTTACTTTCGGTTGTGGTAAGTACGAAAGTTAAAAAATAACTTTTAATTCAGTAAGTGAGTAAGAAATTGAATTACTTACATTAAAGTGCTCGTAGAGACAGTCTTCTCTTCGTCCGGCTCGATGGTTGCTGACGACTTGTAAGGCTTTAAAGTATAAAGGTACCGTTTAGCGTTCCGCTACCGCTTCAGCTTCAGCACAGCTCCCTCTCAAAACCCAGAGCCGATGGTAACTGGTGCGGTGCGGTGCGGAGTCAGTTCGCGCGAGTTGGCGACAGTCGCGTCGGTTTCTCTGCACTAATTAGTGCCGATTAATTCGCGGAACCAATTCAGTAACTTGCCCTCGTTATAAACGCCACGGTACTTCGGACCCGCAGGATGGAAGATGATGAGCCCCTATTAAATTATTGTGAAATGCTAGGTGAGTAAGTCAAAGACGGATGCAAAAGAATATCTTCTGAATGGTACATCGTGATAGTAGTAGCATAGCGAGCTCAAACATCCTGAAAAAGCTAAAAGATCCCTCTACGTATCCTCGCTGCACTCAGCTAACAGGGTTGTAACGCTGTACTAATTATTATTATACTAGAAATTATTCATCATTTCAGCTACAGGACGTCCACTGCTGAACATAGGCCTCCCCCAATGACTTCCACATCGCACGGTTGGTAGCGGCCTGCATCCAGCGCCTTCCTGCTACCTTTATCAGGTCGTCGGTCCACCTTGTGGGTGGACGTCCCACGCTGCGTTTTCCGGTACGTGGCCTCCATTCCAGAACCTTGCTGCCCCATCGGCCGTCAGTTCTGCGTACTATGCGCCCTGCCCACTGCCACTTCAGCTTGCTGATCCGTCGGGCTATGTCAGCGACTTTAGTTCGTTTACGGATCTCCTCATTTCTGATTCGATCTCGTAAAGAAACACCGAGCATAGCCCTCTCCATAGCACGCTGTGCAACTTTGAGCTTCTGTATAAGGCCTATAGTGAGGGGCATAGCTGGGCATTAACTCGTTAATCCGTTAATCGTTAATTAACGAAGTTAACATTTCTATTAACGGATTAACTTTTAAGTTAACTTTAAAAAATGTTAACGGACTCGTTAACTTCCGTTAAATTATCCTAAGTCCGTTAATCGTTCATTCAGTACCTACTATTTACCAAAAAGATACAGCAGGCACGCTGAAAAACACTAGAAAAACGCGTTCTGACAAATATGTTCGGGCTTCCAGAACCCAAAACAACAGTTTTTGTAACCAGAACGAAACGATACAAAAAATGCAATTTTTTATTTATTTACAAGCTTTATATTGACTTACCTACTTGTTAGTATGTGTGGGACAAAAATCTTGCAACTAAATTTAAGACCAAGTTCTCAACCGATTGAGCTGGGTATACTTATGTAAGTACGATGAAAATGCAATGTTATGGTACCATTAAGCTGGTCTGATGATGGAGTCAGGAGGTGGCCATAGGAACTCCTAAATGAAACCGCGGCATCGCATCGAATTTGGGTTCGTTGGATTTGTCTTTTCGAGCACTTTAGTACTAGATGATGTCCAGGGTCCTGATGATGGAGTCAGGAGGTGGCCATAGAAATTCCTAAACGAAACGGTGTAAACTAATCGAGTTTAGGTTTGTTGGATTTGTCTTTTCGAGCACTTTGGTGATAAATCGTATTGTAATTGAACCAAGGCTCTGAGATTGAGATACTATACACTAAGAGCTGGTGAACGCCAGACCTACGTCGTTTATTAAGAACTGAAAGTTTGTCAGCGTATGCTCCCAATATAGGTTAGAATGTTGGTGGATTATGAAGTTTGGGTCATCGTTGCTTTGGCAGCTATCTTAAAAAAACTGTCTGGCAAGGAGTTGGAACTGTCAAAACTGTGTGGCTGATGTCGAAACAACTTCTAATCATTGTTCAAATATTATACATAAAAATCTGCTGTTATGGTATAACGTAAGAAGAATTACAGTCTATTGAATATACAGAAAAAGCCACCGTAAAAGTTAGGCTTACGTTATACCATAACAGCTAATTTTTATATAAAATATTAGGGCAATAATTAGAAGTAGTTTCCTCATCAGCCAGACAGTTTTGACAGTTACAACTCCTTGCCAGACAGTTTTTTTAGGATAGCTGCTAAAGCCACGATGACCCAAACTTCATGATTCACCAACATTCTATCCTATATTGGGAGCATACGCTGACAAACTTTCAGCTTTTATAAAATTACGTACATAGCTGGGCACCGTTAATCAAATAGTTAACTTCGTTAATCGTTAAACCGTTAATAAAAAAATTAACTTCGTTAAACGTTAAAACGTTACATTTAGCAAGATTTAACGCAAGTTAACGTTAATCCGTTAACCCATTATAATAAAACGAAAAAAATAATTGTATGCAAGGTTCAAATAATTTCGAAAGCTTGTATCGCGCATGGAATTTATTCTTCTTTTTAGCCAGACAGTTTTGACAGTTCCAACTCCTTGCCAGACAGTTTTTTTAGGATAGCTGCCAAAGCCACGATGACCCAAACTTCATAATCCACCAACATTCTAACCTATAATTGGAAGCATACGCTGACAAACTTTCAGCTTTTATAA